CGAGAGGGCATGCGGTGCAGGGTGCCAGAGTGGGGCTGGTTCCGTTGGGCAATGGGCGAGCGCGACGTCGACTGGTCGTACGCCGACGAGTACATTATATGTGTGCGGCGAGGGAGGGCCGGGGCGGTGTTTGGGTGCAGAGCAAGAAAATTAACAGCGGAGGTAAGAGTAGCACGTGGTCCAAGCTCGTAATGTCGTGAAATGAGCGGAAGGCGGCCGTCGCAAACAGGTCAGGTCGGATCGGAGGAGAAAAGGGGTCGGCGTGAGCTCGAGCTTGCGTGGTCGAGGTTGGCTGGCGATGGTAATAATCAGGGATGCCTGGCGGACCCAGCGCAGTCGTCCCCTTTCGAGCCGCACTTTTCGGTGGGACGCGAACAACAGGCTAGCAGACGTCAGAGGGCTTCAATATCGCTAACACGCGACAGGGTGGATGCGTAGCTGGCTGGATGCGACGACGATGCCCGCCGCTTGGAAGCAAAAGTTGTCCTGACACCCACTAACGGCGCGGGGAGACGGCTGCACACGTGCCCGCGACGACAGAGGGCAGCTGTTTCAATAGTCTCGCGCGCAGCGAACGGCTGGCCAGGTCAGGAGTCAGCGACTTATCCATCTTGATTGGCGGACGCCCATCGTAAACCATCTCCCGCTGCACTCTGCCTAGGTCGTGTTTGGTATTAAGTTGTGTATACGGCTTGTTCCTCCCGCCGTCTGAGGCCGCTACCTCTTCGCCGCCCTCTACCATGACATCTCTCTTAAAATACCCTCGTCCGCACAGATGCCCTGGCCAGAGCCCAACACCCCCCATTACTCATGCCCACCATGTCTGCCCACGCGCCACATCACCGCCCTCCCTGGACGGGCCAGCCTCACAAAAGGGCGACAGAGGGATGGCCCGGCGTTCTGGAAGTCGCCAGGTGGCGGGCCGTAGCGTTAGCTCCCTGCCAATAACGTGGAACAACACCAACTCTGCTTTTCTCTTCCATCAACGCCTGCCAGAAGTGTCTGCTGTCAACGGCGTCGAGACAGGCCAAATCTGCCCCGTCGTGAACTCGAGGGACCTGCTCCTTTGGCCAGAATCCTCCGAGACGCTCGGGGTGCATGATGAGCACACGCGACGTCGTCAGCTGCACCCTGCCACCGGTAATCTCCCCTGGTACGGTTCATCGTGCTGCACCCCAGATGTGCAACTGGAATAAGGCTGCATATTCACGGTCATCGCTTGACACTGCTTGTTCATATTCTATTGTGGTCTACACATAACTCTGTATAATCTTCATCCACGCTGCGCAGTCCACGCCGCACAGCGCACTCACTCATCTCATTTGACAGACCATCTGAAAGCTAGGCATATACTCGGCCATGGAAGACGATCAGGGTCGGCTTCCCGCTTTTATCAAGTTTCCGACTGGCCGAGCACAGCAGATGTGGTTTGTAGGATCGCTTAGCCTGCATGCATAGCTGATCATGTGAATCCGGCCACTGGGCCGAACACCACTCTCGGGCGCGACGTCTCGCCATCATCCCTTTTTCTGCGGACTGGTTACGCGACAGACATCGTGGCTGTGCTTATATCGGTCATGAATTGCATGCCCTTCAGTCCTCAAAGTCGAGCAGTCGCGAGAATTCAGTCTCGCCGACGCGTCGGAACTCGGCTCCTGCTGCGAACTGCCCACTTGCTTCCCACGCTTGCATGGTCGCTTGGTCGTATGGCCCATTAATCTCACCTTCTGGTGCGTTGAGCCAGTGGAACTCCCACTGCAGTGTCTCCGGGTTCGGGTTCTTCCAGTCCTCTCCAGTCTCACGCTTGTACTGCCGCATGATGGATTCGCGGGGCAGTTCGTAAATGTCCTCGACGCCCCGATCAGACAGCCGACTGGCGCATTCGGTTATAGAATCAATCACCTCCTTCGCCTTGATCGCTGCAGCATCCTGCGACGGATCTGAATCGACCTCCATATCCTGGTTCTTCTTCTTCTTGGCCCAGTTTTTGGCTGGCTTCTTCGGTGCTGCCTTGCCGTATCGCACGAGAGCCTCCATGGGTGTCTCGCCAACGTCCAGGTGCGTGATGAGGGTCGATAGAACGTCGCTGGTCACGATGGAGTCTTCGGCTCGTTCTCGTGCCTTTCGCTCGGCATCCAGCTTGTCTTGCGCCTCCTTTGCCTTTTTGATGTCCTTCTTCGATATGCCGTCCAACCACGAGTCTTGGGCAGCTTCAGGGTCAAAAGCCTTGCGCACAAAGTTTCCTGCTTCGTCAAAACGACCCTCTTCCTGCTCGGCGCTCATGTTGAAAGCATCCAGCTTGGGCGCATGCTTCTTCTTGCCACCTGCACCTATTTCCTCGTCGACGTCGGATGGGACGTGGTCGCGCAACTCGTCATCTCCCTCGTCGCTGCTACTCTCTACTTCATCGGTTCTGCTCTTCGGACCCTTGGTGAAGTCGACAGCTACGTGGCCCCCAGACTTGCTGTTCGCTTCCTGGCCTTCGATCTCGGCATCGTCCAGGAAGCGCAACTTCTTCTTCTTTGTCTGATCTCTGCGCAGTCCTTCGTCCATGTCATCGTCCTTGTCATCTTCGGCGAACATGTCGTCGTCATCGTCCTCGGTTTTGGGCGGCTCGTCCTTGTTGGGTCGGGCTTCTGCGCGCGCCTCGAAGTTCTCCGTGGAGCTGTCTGAGTCGTAGCCGTCGATGTTGACTGCGTTCCGCTTGATGCCTGCGCTTTTTCCTATCACGTCAGCCTCGAGAGCAGGATCGTCATCATCTTCTGCATCCGGAGCCAGCGTGGAGGGGTTGCGCGGGTCAAAGCGGGGTTTCTTGGTGGAATGTTCGTCGGCGTCCATGTGGTGGGTTCGCGTGAATTGCTCGCCAGCGCGCTTCGGTCGCGCAGGATTGTATGTTCCACTAGAGCTGGCCATGATGATTAGCGACGTTGCGCGATATTCTGGCGTCGAGGTTTGGCGATATGTGAGTCCAGGCGGCCAGGCAGTGACGTCGGACGCGATTAATTTGAAGCTTGGGCCACGACGCGCTAATCGGAGTTTAGCGGACTTCTCACTGGCTCAAACGGCCCGCTGTACTGCTACCAACCACGGTCGTCATCCCAGGCCTCTCTCATCGAAGACATATCACTTCCACCACCTGCCCGCCGTTACCTAACAATTCCTGACCCATTCACTCCCCCCCGGAAGACCCTCTGACTCACTGACTCCGCACACTTAAAATGGTAAGAGCGACCCCACCACCTTCTTTGTCCTACACTCACCAGTACAGTTCAACCCCAACTTTTACGACCAAGACGATCCCATGGCCATGTACCAGTCCCTCGCCGCACGTCGCGGCGGCGCTCCTCGACGCTTCGATGAGTACTTTCGATGCTATCCCATCGTCATGTTGCCTGGCCCGGAGCGCCACGAGGCAAACCACGGCGGCAAAGTGTTCCTCCCTCCGAGTGCTCTGGACAAGCTCACCAGGCTGCACATCACATACCCCATGCTCTTCGAGCTCATAAACGGCAAGGCGGACGGGAAGAAGACGCACGCAGGTGTGCTGGAATTCATCGCAGAGGAGGGCAAGATCTACCTGCCATACTGGCTTATGGAGACACTCCACCTGGAGCCCGGTGACCTGCTACAAGTCAAGTCGACCGACATCCCTCTCGGCACCTTTATCAAGCTGCAACCACAAGACTCGTCCTTCCTCGAAATCTCCGATCCCAAGGCCGTGCTCGAAAACGCGTTCCGCAACTTCTCATGCCTTACAGTCGGCGACATATTCACCTTTTCATACAACGACAACGTGTATAGCATAGCAGTGTTGGAGGCAAAGCCAGAACACCCAAGCAAGGCCGTGTGTACCATCGAGACCGATCTGTCAGTCGACTTCGCTCCCCCAGTAGGCTACCAAGAGCCCCAAAGGAACAGCGGCACAAGCACACCGCGCAGTGGAAAGGGCGTCATGAGCGGCAAAGGCGGCACACTACACGCTCAAGGCACCATGGCAGACGCGATCAACTACGCGGCTATCGCGCCATCATCGACGACCGCCGCCAACGGAGCCAAGGCCACCTCCTCAAATTTCCTCACCACCGGCCACAAGCTGCTCAAGAAGGGCAGCAAGGCGCCCACCCCACAAGCCTCCACCCCCATCGCAGGACAGTCATCAAACCCACCTCCGACAGTACGACGCACCAACGGCCCGCAGCCGCTCAGACTACCACCCAACAAACTGTTCTTCGGGTACGAGATCAAGCCACTCAAGGGCAAGGAGGAGGAGGGCGAGCAGAAGGATTCGAAACACTTCGAAGGGTCTGGGCAGTCTCTGCGCAAGAAGAAGGGCGACAAATGAGGTAGATACCCGAGCGGATGGTGCTGATAAGATTTGCAATTCGGATGTTCCTCAGAGCAGCATTGTGTGGCGCTGATAACGGGAACTGGGACAAGGACATGGCGTACGGCGTTTGATACCTACAATTCTAGTTATGTGTAAAATACATAAAGCACATATTTCATCCATCTTTTATGATATCCATCTCTGCGTATATGACCAGTTCACTAATTTGCAAGGATAGTCCCCACGTGTCTAATCTGCAGTTTAACATTTCTCAAGTCATACGTGCATCCGATTTTCGCTCCTCCATCCTAGCAAACACACCTCACTTTCAAATACGTCAAACAGCACAAGCATAAACGGATTCAAGAGTATTGTATCATCAATGAAATTTTCTTGCTCAAGCTAGACGATCAAGTCAAGTGCTCAGCGCATATGCACCGCCAAAGTAAATCCGGCAGAGGCAAGTCTGTCTCGCGTACCAAAGCCCCAGTGCCGTCGTCAGACTGTGCATATTCCGCTCAAAATGTCTGACGCAGCATGCACACTCGCTTGCGAAGCGGATGCAGAACCAGTGATTTCCCCTGAACTAGAGAACGGGGGAAAGAAACAGAGATAGTGAGGTGGAGAGATGGAGAGATGGAGAGATGGAGGGATGGAGAGAGGCCAAGACAGCCTAAACCATCTCATCAAGCTCCTCATCAAGAACCTCCTCTTTGACACCAATGTTCTTTCCACCATCACCTCCTTCACTACCATCTTCTTCAACACTCTCCTCCTCCTTCTTCTTTGCCTGAGTCTTCGCCTTCTTGGCTCTCGGTTTCTTACTCGGCGTAGCTACCTCGTCCTCCTCACCATCTGCGCCATCTCCAGCCTCAGCGCCCCTCTTCTTACTACCGGGTGTCTTGCGCGGCGTAGTAGCAGTCTTCTTCGCACTATGACCCGCCCCGCCCTCTGGCAGATCCCAGGCAAGGTCAAGGTAGAGGTCGCGTTGTTTGACGCGGAGTGCGGAGATGCGGTTGCGGATGCTGCCGATTGAGGTACCTGGGTGGAGGGGTTAGCTTGGGTGGAGGGGGTTGGGGGTTGGAGATTGGATGTTGGGAGGATGGTGGTAGTGGGGGAAAGGTGGTGTACCGTAATGTGAGAACAGCAGGCGGAGACGTAAGGCAAGAAGTGTAGATAAGAGAAGAGGGGGAACATACCAGGAAACGCAGAAGACAACTGAGGATACTCATCTGGCTTGACGTAGCGGCCTTGAGTTAACAGGAGGAGCTATCAAAATCATTAGCCGTGTTGCTGTGAGGTGGAGTATGTCGTGATGTAATACCTTTGTATCGTTTGGACCTTCCCATTTGAACGGCTGGAATGGTTGTCAGTTCACTGTACGCAAATGGGAGCTGAGGAAGATGTCACTTACACCACCAGCCTCGCCAACATCGCCGTTGGTAGCTGCCTTCTTGGGTGGCATGGTCGTTTAAGGGTATGTTGTTGTGGGGGTTGAGTTGGGAAAGGGTCCACGGCTTGCTGGGTTTCTGTGGTGAGGTGGATGGGGTAAGAGAGAGGAAGAGTGGGCGTGGAATCAGTCTAAGAGACTGAGTGGGAACGAGGAATTTATACGTGTGTCTCGAGCGGGAGATTAGGCGTGCGAAAGAGGAGAGGAGAGGTGAGAGTGAGATTCTGCTCGTTTTCCTTTTTGGGCGAGCAGTCACCTTCACCTTTTGCATTTGACTCACCGGGAAGAGAAGACACGGGAGATTCGCACTAGTCATCTTGGATTTTCAGGGTAAAAGATAAATCCCGCATAATTGTGCTGAATGATTCATACCGCCCCGGCGGGGCCAGAATGCGCAATAATCAAGGCACTCAGTCATGCTCTAGGTATCGATTCCTAACGAAGTCGTATACGTAGAAACCGACTTATTCTCGCCCCAAGTTTGTCGTCTCAGTATCCCAGAAAGATCTACATATCCTCATCAAGAACCTCATCTTTGACCTTCCCATCATCCTCCTCTTCGACTTCAGCCTCAACACACGCCTCTTTCTTTGCCTTACCCTTTGCCTTAGCCTTCCTGCCACGCGGTTTCTTCGCCTTCGGAGTCTCCTCCTCAACGTCATCTCCCTCTCCCGCCTCAGCTTCAGCACCCCTCTTCTTGTTCTTGCGCGGCGTAGGCGTCTTCTTCAGCACTGCACCGCCGTCTGGAAGTGTCCAGCCGTACTCATCGAAGAGCTTGCGTTGCTCGACGCGGAAACGGGAGACTTTGATTTTTACGCCGTTGAGGTTTGTTCCTGTAGAGGGTGGGGTTAGTGGGTTGTTGTGATACGGGGGTGTGGATGTGAAGGAGAAGGTGTATTGTGGGAGGGTAGGTGTTTGTAAGTACGAGGGAGAGAGGGGGAGTGGGAGATGTACCAGGGAAGACGCTAACAAGACGCTCGTAATCTTCGGACGTGAGGTAGCGGCCTTGGGTTAGGATGAGGAGCTGGTTCCGCTTTGTTAGTTCCAGGTTCAGTATAGGTAGGAAGGAGTTGGCTTGCCTTGTTTGCGTTCTCGAGTGTCCAGCGGAATGCCTAGTCGCAGACGTTAATCAAGTGGTTCGAAGAGTTTGGGAAAGTGAGTAACATACACCGCCTTCAGCCTCGCCGCCCTCAGCTGCTGCGACCTTCTTCTTGGGATGCATCGTTGGTGAAGTGGTTTGTTGGTATGGGGAACCGAGATGGGGGTGTTGGGTTTGTGTGGGTTGGTAGATGGTGTAAGAAAGTGGGAATGTGGTGGTGGTGGAGGAAGAAGAGGGGAAAAGGCAGAAGATATGAGGGACGTGTTAAGTAGACGATGAAAAGTGCGGGATTGAGGATAGTGAGGGTGAGATCCGAATCTGGATCTGTGCAAGATAAGGAATTTCAAGCTCACCTTCACCTTTGCACACTCAGCGCGAAAATGGAAAATTACAGAAGACTGATGTGGAAATGACTTTTGCTTGGCCGATTAGATGCCGCAGATGCTGCAAAGTGCATTTGTACTGCCAGTTTGCTAATGTTCGAGGCAGTGCTACTCAGATAGTTCGCATCATGGAGAATCAGTAGAACCCATCACACGCTCCCACGCCCGTCCTCCCAAGCGCCCAGAACGCCTAAACACCCTCTTCAACCACCTCCTCCTTGACGCCGCCATCATCCCCATTCAACTCACGATACAGCTCATCACCAAGCCCACCATCCTCCTCAACCTCCTTCTTAACGACCTCCTTCTTCCCCTTCCTCGCACGCGGCTTCTTAGCAGGCGACTCCATCTCACCAGCAACCTCAGCAGCACCATCCTCGCCCTTCTCCGCACCACCCTTCTCCCTCTTCTTCGGCGACTTGCCCGGAGTCTTTGTAGGAGTCTTCTCTGCGTCACAAGGGAGAGGCCAACCCAACTGCTCACAAAGCGCACGCTGCTCCTTGCGCATCTTGATGAAGCGCTGGCGGATGGCGTCCCAGTTGGTGCCTGCTGATCGTTATGTTAGTAACTAGATACACAGATACACAGACAGTGCGGATTGGGGAGTGTGGAGTGTGTAGGGGAAACGTACCGGGACCAGGGAAGGCGCCGACCATCTTGTGGTAGTCGTCTTTTGTGAGGGTGCCGCGGTTCATGGCTAGTAGGAGGAGCTAGGAGTTTGAGTTAGTGGGCTGTGAGGAGGGTTGAGGAGGGGGTTTGGGGGATGGGGGATGGAACTTACGGTGCGCTCGTTTTCGGCGGTCCAGCGGAATTTCTGAGGGGGGTTGTTAGTAAATGTGTATGTGAGTGGTTCTGGCGTGTACTTACGCCATCGCCGCCGGTGTCCGCACCGTCATCGCCGGTCTTCTTCTTTGGTGGCATGGTGGTTGTTGAAGATGGGTTGATCGTTGAGTGCTGTTTGACGGTTGCGTGCTGGATGCTCTGCTCAGATTGTCCGACAAGAGAACGTTGGAGGATGGTGTAGAGAAAGAGACAGAAGGTTGTGAGGAAGCAGTATTGAGACAAGCCACTAGGCAACCAGAGGTGACGAGGAAAAGTGAGAGTGAGATACCGTGCTGCGTTGCGCTGTGATACGGACCATCAACAAACAAGCGCGCCTTCACCGTGAAATCCAGCAGCGAAGCACCGGCGCAAAAAGAGCACGATGCACGAGGGACGAGAATATCTACATTCCAGTCAAGTCAAAAACAGCCGTCGTCAAAATCTCATAATATTCTTCTTATCTATCCAAACCCCAGTCCCAATATATACACACACACCCCTCCCCCCGCACCAATCCACCTCATCTCCACCCCCACCCCCACAAAACCCAAACCCCCTCACATCCTCATCCCCTCAGCAATAACCTTATACTCCTTCCTCTTCTTCTGCATCCCTTCCCCGCCAAACCTAACCTTCGCAACCCCAATCCACTTGCTCAGCCCCGGAAAAAGCATATTCTCCCCCACATACGCGGCCGCAAAATTACCCAACCCCAGCACCAGAATAAACACCTTGAACTGCGTATCTAGAAACGTGAGTTCCATCGCTTGCATAACCCACGCGGCGGGGTCGAACAGCATATACAGCGTAATGGCGAGGGTAACGAAGATAGTCGTGATGAACGGCAAATTGCGGCCCATGGGTTCGCGATACGGTTTCCCGACGCTGAGGACGACGGCGGAGAAGATGTATTGGAAACACGATGTAAGGAACAAGGCTGTGTTTTGGCTGTTCAAGCTGTTGCTGTGGTTGGGGTCGAGGACGGGGGGTTGATACCATTCCTGTTTCTGGACGTAGTGGAAAGCTATGAATTGGACGAGGATGCAGAGAACCATTTGGCCCAGTAGCGGCGTAAGTACCTTTCGTGATACGAGATTGGCGGTGGGCCGTTTGCGGCTGAGGATCGGGTAGGCGCCGGACCAGCCCATGAAGATGGCGATGGGCAGGATGAGCAAGAGGTCGATGAAGAGGAATTGGAAGTCGCCGAGGTTGCTCGCGCTGGCGTACAGGAAGGAGACGGAGCAGAATTGGATGGCGCTGTAGAGCGACATGTACTTGAAACAGCTGAAGCTTGTGACGAGGGCGGCGCGACCTTCTTTGATGACCTGCGGGACGCAGGAGATGTCGAATTGGCGGGATGTGAACGGTGCGGCGACCGAGGCCTCAGCTTCAGAGAGGGAGATACCCACGTCGGCTGCTTTAAGGGCACCGCAGTCGTTGGCGCCGTCGCCGCAGAAGCCGACGCAGTAGTCGATGGATTGAAGCTTTTCGACGAGTTCGTGCTTTTCGTCGGGGGACATGCGGGCGAAGACTTGGCCGCAGACGAGCATCTCGCGGAGGACGGATTCGGAGGCGAAGTCGACGATCCAGCGGAAGACGTCACCGCTGACTGCTAGGCTGTAGTTGCGGAGGTTGGATATGTCGTAGGGGAGGGATACGTCGGCTTCGGGTGGCGGCGGCAGGGGCTTGAGGGTGTTATCGTCGAGCTTGAAGACCGGGTCATCCACACTTTCCCAGCTGAGCTTCGACAATGCCGTCCGAGAGTCACCCTCTTCGAAGTGAGGCACGAAGCAGTGAGCAGTCTTGTTGATGAGGCCACACTCCCGAGCTACACTGATAGCAGTGAGGATGTTGTCACCAGTGCACATGACCTTGCGGATGTTGGCGCGTTCAAGCTCTTCGATGACAGGGGCCGTGCTGTCCTTGAGCTTGTTCTCGAAGATGATGAAACCGACAAAATCCAGGTCGCTCTCTGCTTCCTCACGCTTCATTTTCTGAGTCTTGAGCCAGTTGAGCTTGGGGATTGACTTCGTAGCGCAAGCGATGACACGGAATCCACGATGAGTGTAGAAGGCGAGAAGTTCCTCGTAATCGGTAGGAAAGCTGTCAGGTCGGCAGATCTCTTTCATGACTTCAGGTGCACCCTTGACGTATACTTGTCCGCTCTTAGAGCCGAACTGGCGGACGATGACACTAGCCCTTCGTAGCTGTGAGACGAACTCGAAAGCCTTGAGTACGCCAAGCTCGACTTGCTTTCTGTTTGCTTCATCTTCAACATCGTCGACGTCATATTCACGGCCTGGTGGAGGTCGAGCAACAGATGGCGAAAGCTTCTGCTCAGGGTCGTCGTCACCAGCGTTGCCGGCTTTCTGTTCTCCTTCTTCGTAACTCCAGCCGGTAAAGTCGAACATCTTGACATCGAGTGGGTCGCCTACTAGCTCATCATCGATCTTACGGAGTGAATGACAGGTGGCCATGGTGTACAGAATCGTCTTGTGTGCGAGGTATTCGACAGTGGGGTCGCGGTCGTGCTGCGACGCAGGGAGAATGTCGTAGGCATCTGGAAGCAGCTCACTGAACCTGTTCCTTGGTCGCTCGACTACGCGGACTCCCAGAACATCAAGACCTTCCTCGGTAAGGGTTCCAGTCTTGTCAAAGCAGACGACATCCAGCTTGCCACCAACGTTGACTCGCTGTGGACTGATACAGAAGATCTGCTTCTGCTTTAAGCGCGAGAGGGCAAAGCTGGTACCGATGGTGAGTGTGGCTGGGAGAGCAGGAGGAACGACAATGGTGATCAGATCGAGGGCTCGTACAACGATCAGATGCCATGCGAGGCCTAGGTGCACAAAGTTGATGAAAGACGCGACGAAGCCAATCATAGCAATGAATGCCATGACGGAGATGTACCGGAAGGAGTCGCGGTAGAACTTGAACCCAGATGGCTTGGGGAACAGCATCGAGCGGACCAGTGCGCCCTTGGTGGTGTTAAAACCAGTGCGCACAACCATAGCCAATGCAGCGGCTTCGTCATCAACGTGATCTTCGTGTGGTCTGCGAGCGCGGATGATCTTGGTTCCGCTGAACAGCATGTGTCGTGCAACTTCAGGATGGACAGCCGAAGCGCTGAGGTCTAGGAGGTCTAGAGCGTGGTTCGACATGGGGACCTTGGAAACAGGGATCGACTCGCCAGTCAGCATACTCTCGTTGACAATGCAGTCTCCAGAGAGTAGCAGACTGTCGCAGGGGAACAGAGCAAGGGAGGGATCGGTGACTTCGTAGACATCTCCAGGTACAAGCTCTGCAGAGTCGATGTGGGTCCAGAAGCCGCTGCGTAGTACACGAACTTCGCATTCGAACTTTGACACCTCACGCAGTCTTTTCATGGATGCCTTTGTCTCGATAAGTGTGGTGACAATACTGACGGCCGAGATGATGAAGATGGCGCAGGCATAGTAGTAGTACTCGTCCATGGACCAGAGAATCAGACTGGCGATCTGGAAGACGTAGAAAGGATGGAAGACCTCATCAACCAGGAGCTGACCGATAGTCTTCTCGGCGATGTCGATGACGTTCTTTCCGAATACAAGCTCGCGGTAGTCGCGCTCGTCGTTGTCGAGACCCTCGCGGAGGGCAGAGACTTCGGTCCAGGTGGGATCTGTCCAGGTGTTTGCGAGGACGAACTTGTCCTTGATGGGGTGGTATACGAAGCGGATGTAGCGGTAGTCCAGGCACCTAAGCTCGCCGATGAGCGGGTCGTCTTCTTCGTCCCATTCTCGTGGCCGTCCCTTTTCAGGGTCGCCGAACACAGTCGAAAGCGACCGGCCGTAGGTTTGCTTGCTGACATGCTGCACAGCAAACTCGCCCCATTGGTTTTCCGTGACTATCCAGTCGCACTCCTTCAGCGGTGAGCTCTTTCCTGTTATCGCGACTCTCCATCGTGGTAACCATCTGAACAGCAGCCAGCCGAGACCCAGCGTCACGAAGCAGAGCAGCGCATACAGCGCATAGCCAATGGGCGATGTTCTGAAGCCGGCGATGACAATGGTGAGGTCCTCGGTCATGATGTAGATCTTCTGGTTGGACCTGCGCCCTCTCCAGTCGATGCCTGAGCCTGCGCTGCCTGTGGAGGAGTGCCTGCGCAACAACGGCCGCTCGGATGACTTCCTGCTGCCACTCGACTTCCGCCGCGATGGTGACGGTGAATGCGATGTTTCCGACGATATGCCCGCCTCGAGGTCCTCCAGCTCCGATACGGTATAGCCATTGTTGTACGTGCTCTCGCCGTCCTCCAAAATCGCGCTATCCTCATCCTCACCCTGTGAATCCTGCTCTTCATCGTAGAATGCGAAACTCGTCAAACTCGCGCTCGAATCGGCGCGCGACCGGCGGTGGCGGAATCCGGAGACGCTCGTGGGGACGCTCTCGCTCATGGGGCCGGAGAAGACCTGGATTGTGGGCGTCAGCTGCTGGCCAGGCTTCCTTCCACGGGGGTTGTAGGCAGGACGGGAAGGAGGCATGGGGCCGAGTTCGAATACCTCATCTTGCGCCATCTCGACATCTTCCATGAAGCTTGCCCTGAGAAAGTCAATCAGTCGCGCCCGACGCTGAGCTGGCCGTCACACGTACTCGCTCAAGTGGGAGCCACGGCGGTACATGGCGCTCATCCGGCGCGGCCGCCGCCTCTCGGGGCTCTCGTTGTCGGCCATGGCGACTTTTGGTGTTGCGAGTGGTGGGCTATTGGGCCATGGTGAGCTTGTGCGACACCAAGTTTTCTTGTCGCGTCGCCTTGGGCTTGCGAGATAGGCCGTGCGGTGTATGACGTTTGAGCTAGTCAGGGATCAACCTCCGTTCCTGGTGCTCTCATCCCGACTCAACACCCAACACCAGAAGCCATAAGATCGAACACACAGTATGTGAAGGCTGCATCACATCGGCGGGCGCTGGATCTCATGTCAGCGGATAACAAAAATGTCGCTAACTCTACTGGGAAGAAGCTCGTGATCTCTCCGGTCAGCCAACACCAAAATCAGTATCCCCGGACTTCTGGCTCGTTCAAACACCGCATATATATGCACTGCGAATCGCGCATATGGTCTCAATGTCCACTATCAAGGATGAATTGTCTTCGTCAGATGATGCGGGTTGACCTTGCCTATCGCGTCCATGATTGGATCAACCATTCCCCTCACAGCCTCGCAGGATGCAGGATGCAGGCCTTGTCATATGCCGGTCGCCAGCCTATTCGCTATTTCAGTCACCACGCCGCTCTTCCTGTACATCACACGTCTTTCACTCATTCTTTCCTCATCTCCTGTCTTGATCCGACCCGCGCAGCATGAGTACACACGTGTACCAAGCACTGGAAGGTCCAAAACACATCAGGCTGATCGCACTGCACCCGGCCTCCTCCAAAGAAGAACCTCTAAAAGTTGCGTTTTTTTCCTCGACACTGGGGGATCTTGAGGGTCGCTATGACGCCATATCTTATACCTGGGGAGAACCAATTCTCGAGTTTCCATTGTATGTCGACGACGGCACTCAGATCTGCGTTACGCAGAATCTTGACCGAGCTTTGCGATACCTGCGCCGGTCCGATCGAGACCGACTCCTCTGGGCCGACGCTGCGAGCATTAATCAGGCCGATAACGCAGAAAAGGCCGTACAAATTCCATTGATGGTCCAGATTTTCCGCGGTGCCCACAGAGTTTTGGCCTGGCTCGATCCAGGCGGTGATACTTCTATCGAACAGCACGGTATGCGGACAATTGATCACCTATCTCGGATAAGCAAGCATAAAGAAACAGAGTCAAACGCAGACTTCGGTGCAGTCATGCGATTCTTGCATCTTCCGTGGTTCAACAGACTCTGGGTAGTGCAAGAGATCGTCTTCAATTTGGAAGTCAACTTAATCTGTGGCGACACAGAGATTAATCTTCTTCGCCTGGTTTCTGCGCTACCCGTCATACAGAACGGGGTTTCTCTTCTGGGTACTGACGACAGGGTGAGACTGGATGCCATGGCCACTATCGGGAGTCTCTGGACCCACCATTCGCTCTTCGGTACCAGAGTCCCGCGTCACTTTGGGAGTGACAGTAAGGACATCACAAGCCTGGTAGAGGATTTTGCGTCTTATGCATGCACAGATCCACGAGATCGAATATACGCACTCTTTAGTATGGCAGCCAACGTTCAACCAGCTGGATATATCTCCAATAATGTCGGCTCTAGCGACTCCGACAGCGACTCTGACGAAGAGCTAGCCAAGACGAAGAAGGCCAAGAAGAGCGGAAAGAAGGCTGCCACACGCTCGTCCTTAAGCGATTCTAGCTCCTCCGACAGCTCTTCGGAAAGCTCTTCGGACAGCTCTTCAGACAGCTCCTCCGACTCCGACAGCCCTTCAACGTCGCAAAAAGAGTGTGTTGTTTCCATGAACATAGATTACTCGCTCGACGTACGTGAAACATACAAGGCATTCGCGGTCAGTTGCTGGAAAAAAAGAAGAATGCATAGAGACATGTGGACAGCTTTGTTCATGCGTCAGCACTCCTCTCGACCGGACGATTGGCCTTCTTGGGTGCCAGACTGGCGGGTTCTACCAAAGAAAATCCTTCCCATCGATGACAGAATTTTTCCCTATGGCTTCCGAGTAATCAGTGCCACGAGAACCGAAATTTGTTTAGAGGCTGGCAGGTACAGACCTCGGCTGGACAAGGATAATGCGCAACCTTATACTGTCAGATCAAAGATCTCAAGGCAATCGGTCGGTTCTGAACACTCCATTGAGACACAGCTCTTTCAGCTGTGTTCAATGGCCAATGGACCGGAAACCGCGCGAAATCCCGAGCCTCCCACCGATGAAAGACAGCGCCCATCCTGGATGTCGTATGCTACGCGATTTCCCAACCTACTGTACAGAAGAGTCAGTGAAGGCGTACTTCATTTAGATTTAGATGTTGACTCCGAACTTCCCCAAGATGAACCACAGGGGGATCTCTTGCAGAGACTCATTGAGCACCTTTCGTCAGTAACGAGGGGGACCAGAGAATGGGATCCGCGATACAGCCCCACGTCGACAACATTCAGACGTCAAAACCATAGCCATCACTTAGATCGAGCTTCCGAAGATATTTCAAATCTTTTCGTGTTTCACGACCCACGTACTCAGGTAAACTCCATAGGCTATGGGAATGTAGCAACTGAGGTTGGTGATACCATTGTGCCTATGGGAGTTTTCGACAATGGCGTTCTTGTGGATGGAACAATAACGGTGATAATACTCCGCCGTATCGATCTGATGGAGATATCTACCACCAATACCCCGACCTATCGTTTCATCGGCAGCGGCTGCATATTTGACCCGACTATAATGCTCTGGGCGTTAGGAGAAAAGCTTTTTTATCCGGTAAACCGCACATATGTCAGTCAAAAGTTCAATATAGTGTAGAACCTCTCTAGAGAGTGCCATCAGGTACGTCCACTCTACACACCCCACCCCACCAAACTCCCCCCTCAAACCCCCATCTTCGCCCTAACAAACGCCTCAGTATCATCCAAAACCTCCTGCACCGCCCTAATAGTCCCCGGCGGAAACCCAATAAACCCATGCGGCGCCCCCCTATAAATCTTCACCACACTCTCCGCCCCCCACATCCCCCACTTCGCCCCCATCAACACACTATCATCCAACAACGGATCCTCACTCCCACACGTAAACAGCGCCGGCGGCAAGTTCATTCCTCTCAAGTCTTGCCAAAACGGACTGATGGAAGGATCGCGGCGCTCGGCTTCGGTGGTGTTGGGTAAGAGGGCGTCGATGTAGGATTTCATCACGTCGTAGTCGATTACGAGGGATGATTCGTGGTGCAGCACGTGGGGGAGGAAGGAGGACATGTCGTAGCAGCCGAAGTGGAGGAGGAGGCCGCGGAAGGAGAATGTGGGGAGCGTTTTTAGGAGGTGGAAGGCGACGAGGCAGGCGAGGTGGCCGCCTGCGGACTGGGGGGTGTTAGTATGGGTGGTGGGTTGGGTGGGTTCGCAAAAAAAGAAGGAGGGAGTAGTGCAGGGAGGTAATGGAGAGAGGAAGGAGAGGGAGGGAAAGACACATACCTCACCACCCGTAAACATCAACTCCCCACCAAAAACCTCCGGACCATTCTTCACCAGCCATTCCGCAGCGTCGTAGCAGTCTTCTGCGCCGGCGGGCCAGGGGTCTTCGGGCGCGAGCCGGTATCCGATTGATACGACTGTTACTTCGAAGTGGTCGGCCATGTATTTTAGGTAGGGGTCTTGACTATTCTCCTCGTTAGCTTTAGCCTCAAATCACATCCCCATACTCCCCTTTCCTTCCCATCCCATTCCCCCTTCCCATCTCCATCCACCCATGTACTCCTCCACCCCCCTCCACCCACTCACAACATCACAACAAGGAAAGAAATGAAACCAACTTACTAAGCCTCACTCATCAACACCCACCCCCCACCATGAATATGCATATGAATCCCCCTACTCACCACCCCTCCACTCGGCTTAAACACCCTATACGGTATCTCCCTTCCAGCGTCTCGAGAAGGGAGCGAGGCGTTGTAGCCTTCGGGGAGGACGACGGGTTTGGGTAAGGGGGTTTTGCCTTCCCAGCGCATTTGGCGGTAGGCTGCTGCGCCGACCTGTGGATTCTTACGTTAGCATGGGGGTGGAGGATGTAAGATTGGGTGGTGCGGGTAGAATGGTGTAGATATGAAGGGGGGGATGGAGATGGGATGGGATGGGGAAGGAGGGGGGATAATGGGTGGATGGGAGGGAATGGGCATACCTCATACCACCGCGGTCCATCCGCCCAGATCTTAATCAACTTCTCGTTGAACTCCAGGGTCTGTTTGTCGATGCCATCGCGATCGAACTTCGAGGCGTCGACTGTGACGTCTGATTTTGGATACATGGTTGTGACTTGTCACGGTTTCTTTGTGTCCTTGCTCTTTCTTCTTTGCCGGCAGGTTACTTGAACGTTGCGAAACGGCGCCTTCACAACCAACGTCTAAAAAATGTAGAATCAGGAGGTGAAAATCGAAGATGAGTCAAACAGAACGAGACGTATAGAAGTAGTAGTAGTAGGAGTGGTAACCATGCGATTACCACGTTACATCACCCATCGGCCGTACTCCCTCGTGTTCCTCCCTTTCGCACGTATCAAAGTGGGGGCGGGGTACACCTACCACGTCCACAACACCCATGCCAACGCCCAGAACGTCACTAGTGTCTTTGATATGGTTGGCCTACACGCTGTTATTATCTCCGAAGAGAGGTGTGTACCTGCATTTTCGGGTTACTGTTTCGGAAGACTCCGGATGTTTTGCGGTTGGGGTAAGATAATACAGGTGTTGTGGCCGGTATCGGCGCGCTGGACTCACTACCATCTTGGACATCATGCGATAACATACAACCCAGTTTACGCGCAGATAGGGCAGAGCTGGGGAGGTGGAGAAGGTGTTATTAAAGTATTAATAGGACGATATAGACTACCGCACAGGTTTCGATTGCATCCGACTCGTCGACATACCCGTATGCCCATTACTCTGCCCTCCCTTCGCCCTCCGTTTCGCCTGCCGCTCATCCCGGACAAACAGCGATTTAGCTACCGAGACTGCCACCGCTGCTGTGCGAAAGGGATACATGGCGATGTCCCAAGTCATCTGCAGCATGTAGCTGATAGTACCGGCTATCCAGCTCAGCGTCATAGCAATCACGCCCGGCCGCTGACCGGTTCTAGCAGCCGCAGCAGCTAAGGCGAGTGTGTCACCCAATCTAGCCTCTAGGTCTTGGAAGCGGGCTTCGATTTGTAGGGATTGCGCCATGTGACGTTTTTCGTAGCGCCTAACTGCGCGGTTCAGGGCGTCGAGTTGGAGTTGTGTTGTTTGGCGGACTTCGGCGCTGAGTTTCTCTACGTCTACCTCGTTGTTGTTGGCGGATGGGGGGCTATCGAGCCGTCCTTCTAGTTCCGAGATTCGCTGTGAGAGTTGCTGGGTGTCGGCTGAGCGGACGGGCTCTCTTGGGGCTTCTCGGACGATGCGCTGCAGGTGGAGGATTCGCTCTGTTCGCATCTTGATGAGGCGGTTTACGGGGGGTATCTCGGCGATGAGGAGGAAGATGCTGAGGTTCGCGTCGGATACTATGCCTTCGGCGCGCATGAGCTGGCCGCGGATGGTGTGCATAAGAAGGGCGCCGAGGAGGGGACCTAGGAAGCAGCCGACGAATGCCAGCATCTCTGACCGCTTTAGGGCTTCACGAGCCTCCTTCTGCGCTCGCGAGACAGGCGCATCGGTAGTGGTGGTGTTGACCTTTGAGTCTTGCGTCTCGCCTGCTTGCTCTTCTACAGCCTCTGGCGCATCCTCCTCCTCCTCGTGTATCGTGTCGTCATATGTCGCGTCATCCGTGTCGTCGTTCAAGTATCGTCGTTGTTGTGCCTCGTGGTACCAGTCCCTGCGTCGCGTCAGCTATGAATCTCACCTATGCTTGCTGCACTCACCATGGCACCTTGACGCTCCAATGAAGGAACCATCCCGCCAGTACCAATATCAACACGTCTGTCGCGACATCTGCGCCGTTCTCTACCGTCAATCCAATGATGGCAGGGACCACGGCGGCCACTACAGGCAGCGCAATCCATCGTGACGGCTCGTCTGGGGATGCATGTCGGCCCATGTCATTCTTCCCGCCCGCTCTAAGAAGATTGTCGCTGGAGGAGCGCAGGGAATAGCGCGAGTCGGAGAGGTCGGAGACGAGGGAGCTGCGGCGTCGAGGGGCGGCTGTAGGAGGAGTAGAAGGACGCGCACCCTCAGCAAAGGTGGCGGCGCGGTTCAGCATCCTCTGGCGCAGTTGAGGGTGGATGCTGGGACTGTCGACCGGCGCACCGTCCATGGCGAGTACCGGTTGAGACGTCGGGATGGAAGAAGCAACGTGGACGACGTCGCTGCCAATGGATGCCTAGACGCCGCTTCAAGAAGGCGCGATGTGGTAGAGATGCGAGTCACCTGATCGCGATGGGTGCAGGCGCCGCGGAAGCATCGCTGAGGCTCTGGTGACGCTCACACGTACTAACGCGACCGTCGTGTGCCGTAGTGGAAGACGCCTCGGCGAGTCGTTCGTCTTACGTCATGTCTCGATGCGGTCAATTGTAGAGCTGGGACCCTCACCGAGCTTCTTCACACATGCGCTATGGCCTAGCTTCCCATGGTTTGCAAGCGATTCACTGCGAACACCATCTCGACACCAACAGGTATCCTGTGCGCATCCCGCATTCACGGCCATTCAGAGCGTGACGACCATGCCACACGTGTGCAGGCCCTCCTGCTGTGCAACCAAGCCTACACCATGACCGAGGAAACGACCAAGCGCTGCAAAGGCTCGCACAGCCTCATGGACTATCTTCCATTCGATCAATACACAATCTCGCCACTTGTTGTTCCCCGATGCTTCACACTGGGACGCAGCCATCTGCCGTAGAGTACCCCATCGTCCCAACGCACTCGTTCGGACTCCGACAATGTAACAGATGCCCACCAAACCGGGCAGGTAAATACCGGTTCCTGGATGCTCGAAGCGGGTGAGTAGGATAATCTGGCTAAACCCGCCACGTACAACCCGACCTGCAACCATGCCGCAGCAGCGGGGACTTAGCACCTCGTCTCCCCATGATTCCCTCTCTGATTGCGCTGCTACTTATCACAGACATGTCTCGTCTCTTTCTCGTTGGTTTTCTATTCAGAAGTCCTCTTTTTCTATTCAGACCCAAATGCGGACAGGCAAAAGTCTCACTTCCACTACCACAACCATACCGCCGCAACCGAATATCACGGGTACCAGGCAGCGCCCTGTCCATGCGACGGGTCAGCCCGTTTCAAACAGACTGTGATTGACGTGGGCGAGAGCGTCTGCCGATATGCTGTTCTAGCGGCATACTCGTTTTCACCACTCAAGTGAACGTAAGTCCTATTGAGCCTTATTGAAGCTTGAGACACGCATTTGCTCTATTGAGGATTTCCATATACTCGGTATCGACGGGAGTGATGGGGCTTTCGAGGCTGCTTGCCGCCTGTCTATCTCTTCCGTTGCTTTTCGTTCTAATCTTAATCTTTTCCATATCTAAACCCATCAACACTACCTGACACTATCCTGGAGATAGCACAATCGACAGCTCGAATTCCACTTTATCAACGGCTACATTCCTGGACTGGATTCAGACCTGCCGCTTTGCAGCATCGAAGATAACTGCCCATCTTCGTTGGTTGCTCCCTCCTCTTGACATCCGCTACCATGTCAATGACATCTGCTGCTATGGCAATGACATCTACTGCTATGTCTTTGACATCTACTGCTATGTCTTTGACATCTACTTCTATGGCAACCAACACACACTCCTACGAAGCTTACTGGACTGGAGATGCGGCGGGGACGTATGAATACAGCACCAACATCACCATGGAGGAGATGAACGCACCCGTCTCCACTCAGGCCATCCTCTTCATCACCCTCTCCTTTCCAGCCTTCCTCCTCTGCGTTGCACCAATGATCTGGCATTTCCGTCAAGCCAACGTCGCAGCCGGGTCACTCATCTTATGGATTGTCCTCCACAACCTCTTCAACTGCATCAACCCGCTCCTCTGGCCCCGCGACAACCTGACTGAATGGTGGGACGGTGCGGTCCTGTGCGACATTCAGATCCGGCTCCAGGTCGGCAGCTACGTGGGATTGACCGCCTCGTTGGCCCTGGTATTACGCAAGCTCGCCAACGTTATGGATACACGCAATATCACTGTTTCGACCAGCCATAAGAGCAAAGTCAAAGCGAAGATCTGGGAAGTCTTTTGGTGTTGGGGCGTGCCGTTGTTACTGATGGGCATTTACTATGTCACCCAGTACAATCGCTATGCAATCGTCGGTATTGCTGGGTGTTGGTCTGTCCACGATGCTTCATGGCCTAGCATGGTCATTAGTTTCATGTGGTCAGCCGTTGGCATTGTGATTGATTCGTACTGGGCAGGTAAGTCTCATCTGCTTCCTCCATCATATCACCCTACTAATCATTCAATAGCCCTACTTATCTGGCGTCTTTACCGATACCGACGCGAATTCCACCGCCTTGTTGCAGCGCGAAACACCACGTCCTCACGCTTCATCCGCCTCTTCCTAGTCAGCCTGATCGTCATCTCCTTCTATCTGATCTACACCATCGTACTGCTCATCCAGATGGCCGGAAGACTCCACGACCATTACTCCTGGGACAGAGTCCATGATCCCGAGAGATGGAACAGAATCACAAGAGAGCCCGGGCTGGGTAAGATCAGTATTGAGAAGTGGGTCCAGATCGCCACGGGATTCATCATCTTCGGCTTCCTCGGCACGGGAGTCGATGCAAATGCTCATTACAGAGGTTTATTGGTCTTTATGGGAGCTGGCAAGATATGGCCCAGCCTACTACCCGGATCGGCCAACAGGAGGAGACCGACTAGTTTCACCGCTCCTCGTGGTTGGACTACATACTTTTCCAGCAAAGCAAAGAAGATGTCGTGGTTCGGTGCTTCTGACTCTACACAGTCGACATCAACGAGCGCGGATTTCAAGAACGATACTTGGACCGCGTCTACATATAATAACCCCGTGGCTCTCGATTCGATCCCCCGCTTACACAGCGTCACAACGCAAGATACCTTGATCTCACAGAAGAACGACGGAGACTTGCCTTCGCAGAAGCACGATCACTCCCCTTCTCCATCATCATCCCCAACAACTCCCCGCCCCCCATTCTTCTCCCGCTACTTCACCCGCCCCTCTCTAAACGGGCCTCTCCTCCCCTTATTCTCCTACCGCAACATCACCGAGATCGCTTCCAAATCCACCAGTCCTTCCACCCACCCAACCACCAAACCATCCAACTCTTCCACCACCCCCACCGCATCCACAAACACAAACACAAACCCCCCCAAACCCCCGACCCCAACCCTGCCCCCCGGCGTCCACACCCGCGCCTGGGCCGAAGACATCTCCTCCTCTCCTCCCTCCGCTGGCATGAACAATGAGGCACACGGATATGGAAACGGAAGGGGTGTGCATGTCGTGCGGGAGGTGCATCAGCAGCGGGATAAGAAGCGGGGAGGTGAGTTTGAGAGGGTGGGGAGGGAGATGAGGGAGTGGGCTTGAGGGTGGGAAGGAGGATGGAGGAGTGGATGGGTGGGGTGGGAGGATGGGAGGACGAGGGAGGTATGGGAGGTTGGAGGGGGGTAATGAGCATGGGGTTTATGATATCTTAGCTGGACTTTGTTATTTCTACTTTCGATTTTTAGGCTTGGTGAGGGAGTGTGGTGGAGGATGTGGGAGTGATGAGATCGCATGGGTTGGTAAATCCGTGGACTCGAATGAATATATTGGTATCTTGAGTATACGTATGGACTTGGTGATTGTTGTCTGATGGTAGTCTTCTGAAAGCGTGACGATGGAACATAGTGCGTGAGGTCATACAGCAATGAGTGTAAACACGATGCGATGTTGGCCCGCAGTTAAGCTACGCGATCTAACTTAATCACCAGAAGGCCCATCGGGTTTGAATGCGAAGTCTAGAACCTCACGCGTGTGGAGTGCGTATCAACATCGCCGGCGGGGCCTATTCACACAGCTGTCGGCTAAAACTTTGGTCGCGCACATTGCATCATGTCAACCTGGGAAGGGCTGTCGCGTTGGGGAACATCACGTCATATCAGTTTGATCACGCACAAAGAAAGCAATATTGTCGTGAAGCATTTTTGATTCCGTTATCGCATGTCCACATGGCGACGTATCAGTCAAAGGCAAGCCTCCACAAGAGGTAGCGAGCCGGTGTTAGAGTGACCGTCGTAATCGTGTTCAAGTAAACTCCCAGAGAACCCCAATGTGCCATTCAGGCGATTGACCAGCATTCCATGACATTCCTCAGTCCAGCACAGTCGTCACCTCCCGAAGTAGTAGTTGAAAGCTCGCGTGCCGCAGTCCGCCGTGTGACGTAGCTTGAGGGCCGAATCGCGCGGTGGAGTAGAGTGAGTTGCGAACCGGTCGGAAGGTTGTGCGTAGAAAACGTGTCGTTCAGTGATCATTTTCGTTCAGAACTGAGGTGGGTGATGCTGAGATTGAGGGGCGAGACGTTTATTTGCTGGGGGTTTGTTAGACGCGAGGGAGCAGGCGGTGGTAATGTGGTAGAACTTACGAACGAGCCCTAGTCTTTCTTCTCTTGCGCTTGAGACGGCGAACGCGCTTCTTCCTCCATTTGGCTCTCATCTTGTCGGCGGGCTGTGGTATGAGGTCAGCGGCTGCACTTGAGAGTGTAGAGGCGCCGGCGGGTGCAAGGACACTCGAAGAGCAACCATTGCACTCAATTGAGTGTCGCGAGCGCCGCCATGGCCTGGAATATAGAACTTACATTGCTGTCGAGATGAGTGTCGTGAGTGTAGAACAAAGGTAGGAGCTCAGCGAGTCGAAATACCTAGGTGGGTGCGGGGCTCGCTTAGCTAGAACGGCTTAGCGCCCAGCCCTGAGGCAGGCGCCAAGCGTTCACGCGCGCCGCGTCACCTGCCTTACGTCAAACCTCAGTCGCGTCATCACCAAAATCATTCCAGGGCAGTGTTATCGACGGCGGAGGAGTGTTGTACGATGGCAGGTGAAGCAGTGGCATGGCTGCAAATTAAAGTCGCGGGTGACGGTGCTTACGGTGAGTCGATGTCCTTCGATTCATGATCAACAGACTAACGCATGCAGGAACGCACGGAGGCAGGATCGAAGTGTGTGGGAATGAGCAGTTCAATCTCGGGAGGGATCCAGAGCTCTGGTCAGAGCACTGTCTTCCTCGCTGTGATATGAGCTTGTTCTAACCCTTCCCACAGTCGTTACTCATGGGCCGATGACCTTACCATTTCAAGGAAGCATCTTCGCATCCATTGCATTCTCTACGAACAAAACCCGATCGCCAAGATCGCACCGTTCGTCTATGCAACTGATCTCTCTACAAACGGCACTCACCTCAAGAAGAGCAATTCGGAGTACACGGCGTCCCAGGACGTGGGCATCCTGATGGGTCCCAAGAGTACATTTCTCCTCGAGGATGGGGATGAGCTTCGCGTTTCAGAAACCGTCACCCTGATCTACTGCTCGAACACGCCGGTAGAGCTTGTGAAGTTGACCGACATCCAGGAGCGAGAGCGACAGACGTTTGCTTCGCGTTACCTCCTCACCGGTCGCTTGCTCGGCGAAGGTGGTAACGGCAAAGTCCTCGTAGGCATCAATCAGGAAACACAGCGACAACTTGCGTGCAAGATCGTTCGACTAGACAACATGTATGACACCTTGGCGTTGTCGAACTTACGCCCACCCACCGGAAAGCGAGCGAAGCATCAGAAGTCGGTAAAGCAACAACTGCCGACCAGGGTTACCAACTGTTTCCGCGAGTTTGACATTCTCAAAGACCTCAGCCATCCGAACATCATCACCATCGAAAAGGTCTTTCGGAGTAACAATACCATCTACATCTTCGAAGAGCTCGTCACAGGCGGCGACTTATTCTCCTTCATCGAGTACAAGGAGGGTCAGATCGACAGTTTCCAGGCCGCCACTATCATCTACCAGATATTGAACGGAATAAAATACCTTCACGACCAAGACATCGTACACCGAGATCTAAAGCCAGACAACATACTCATGTCGTCTCTCGAGGACAGCGCTCGCGTCGTCATCACCGACTTTGGCAGTGCTAGGTTTCTCCCAGGGAAGAGCAGCCAAAATCCCGCAAAGGCCAACAAGTACCAACGTATGTTCTCGCTCGTGGGTACCTTGGAGTACATGGCGCCTGAGATTCACAAACGCAATAGGGCCATTCCAGCCGAGCACGGCTACTCAAGATCTGTCGACATGTGGTCCATCGGCACGATTGCAGCCACACTACTTACCGGAGACACGATGTTCACTGATCGCAGACACCCGGAGTACCACACGAATCCTCAAGCTGTGATCATGGGTCTTGCAGCAATCTGTGACCTAAGTCACCTGGACGACCCGCATCATCCTTCATGGGGCGGTGTCGGCGACCGACCGAAAGACTTCGTCAAGAATCTACTCATACTCAAGGAAGAGGACCGAATGACAGCGTCGGAAGCTCTTGCGCATGATTGGTTCTCCTCCTACCCCGAAGATCTTGAGGACATGTACGCGGACTCCATTGCAGACTGGGAACCTCGCGAAACAAGCCACGATCTGGTCGAGATGATTCCCAGGTCTATGGCGAATAGCGCCGCTGCAGGTATGACCGGCGGAAGTCAGGCTCCAGCGACGACTTTGCGCTACTTCGCTCTTCGTCAGCCTACAAACACGCTCCGGAAGCCTTCGTCCCAGCGCTGGCGTGCAAATACCCCGTTGCCGTCCATCATGCAAGACCATGAAGCAGCCCAGTTCGCTAGTCAGTTGCAGGCTCCGTCATACGACAACAGTGATCCATTTGATCAATACCGACAGCGTCAATCACTCTCGGCTATAAGCGCGACTGGAACAGGTATGTATCATTCACGTGAAGATGCAGATGATGATTCCGAAGGCTCCGAAGCGAGCTTGAACGGTGTTACGGACGACTACTCGCAGCAAGAACATTTCGAATATCTGCCGCCGCCTCCAGAGCATGATTCCGTTCTGGTAAACGAGACGCCCATCGACGTCTATCATCAACGACAGTGGAATGAGGATCAAGGACATGATTCGATACTCGTATATGAGACGCCGCCTGAATTCCTTCGTCAGCATACCCTTTCCTCAGATGATGACCTACCGACCTACGATATGTGGGCTTATGATGACGCGTCAAGTGTGCGCAGTGCAACTCATGTCGCAGGAAAGCGAAGGAAGCTCTCGCACTACGCTTGATGATATTATCTTCTTGATCTCGAACTAATCTACAGCGCCACTAACGCTAAGCAAAAGCAGTCATGGGTATATAATGTGATGTAGCTTTCTTACTCATGCCACGGTTTTTTATCGTCGTCGATGCACACTTCCTCACAGCCTCCTAGCGCCGTGACTGCCGACATGTGCCTCGTCCCGCGTGAAGGAGCCTTTGTTAGTAGCAGCTTGTTCATCGTTGCAAGCGCTTGCTAGATGGTGTTCAGCATGCTACATCAAACACTACACTGCTAACACTGGTAGACAAACATGGCTTCTCCCGAGTTTCCCTATCGCAAACCATTTGACTCTACGCAGGTCTACGCGTCCAGCAGAGGGGTGTACCGCTCAATCCGTACACCATAAAGATTATCTGAAGCTCGGAACCAATACTCTGCTCTATATATCGACAACGCCACAGCAGTGCGAATCCATCTTGGTAATCCTACCTTCCTCATCTTTTCGCATGATATACGTATATAGCACGAGAAAGCAGCGCGTCATTCCTACCCGGACTCCACTACACCGGAAAGCTCACGACCCTCCGCCTACATACCATTCACTCCAGTTGCAACAGATGCCATGGTTGCGTCTACACGGACCGCGATCTCAAGCAGCGCCACAGTCATTCACCACACGAAGGGAGTCATCACATGATGCGCTCAGCGGCACCCTAGGAGCATATAAACGCAGGCCAGCCGCCCGATGAAAGACCTTAACACCCATCGACCAGCTCAACCACTGCGATCATACTTTTCTATCTTCCATCTGCTATTGCAGTCTTTACCAGCGGAGCGCGCTCGGCACGATCTTTCACTCCGATCTTACGACCACCCACTCACACTACCACAAAACATCAAGAGCTTCACAATGTCTTCTTCGTCTAGCCACCAGACGATGAGTTCCGCTGAGCTTCTGCAGAGAGTCGGTGACACAGTCGCGCGTGGTGTCACAGGCCTTGCGACCAAGGCTGAAGTTGACGAGGTCAAAACTAGGCTGTCAAAGATAGAGTCCTTGCTCATGCAAGTGCTGCAAGACCGGACATCTGCGCATCATGCGGGACCAGATCGCGAAGCTCCAACGGTCCCTACGTGTGGTCTCAAAGTCAGTGAAGATTCTGCAACAAATGTTCCATCTGAGACGCAGACCGACGTAGATCACTCCATCGCTGCAGCTTGTAAGACTTCTTGCTAACCAGATCTAGTTTATCACACCTCAGAGAAATGTGAACAATGTGCATGCGGCGCATATAGCCTCCGTGTCCGAAGAGCAAGACGTACCGGTAAGTTCGTGATCACAATCCTTTCGCTTCGTTCTAACAGCTCCAAGCCTTCCTACCAGCCTGCGTATACTGCAACTTTCGCCGAGCCAGCAGCCCAGGGAACTAATGAGAGCTCTCTCCCTAACACACCTACACCGTCAGCACGGCCAGCGGAACCAAGCGCGCCTACGCTTAACGAAGAGACGGTCTCCGCCCAGTCCGCTGCTCAAGCTGAAGAAGACACACTGTCGGATGAGGAGCTGAGGGAACTTCGGCCGCTTCGTCAGCAATCAACACGTCTACTCTGCATTAATGAGGACTTTCGTTTCAAGACCCTAGTTGGCCTGTACTGCGCTCTCAAATTGAGGAACCCAGTTCAATCGTCATCCCGGACCCGCCTCCCCGAAAGCGAGCTAATTCATATGGCGCGCCATGCAGAATTCGACATTCTTCGAGCCATAGATCGAAGGGTCATAAGGAGGCAATTGGCTCCGGTCCCATCGCTCATACTCAATGAGTACTCAACTGGTCGGCAGAAGATGTGGAGCAGCTTCAAGAATAGCAGCAACTTCTCCAAGCTGATCCATAGATATCAGCGGTCTGTGCGTGAGGCCTTGAGGCAGAGTAGACGAGTCAACCGGTCGCAGTCTCCTCAGCAGATAGGAGCTTTCGTCACCGTTCCTCGTGGCCGTGCTGGATACCGCTATCGATCGGCGTCGAGGTCTGCGAACGATGACCGTGGCGGCAATGCACCGGTGACTGGTATAGATCAGGGCGTTAACCAGCCGGCGACAAGCAACAGTGACTTCTCCTTCCCGAGCGCTCCTACTCGGATCTTCTCCTCGAAAGCACTTGATACGCTGGTGGCGTACAGCGACATGCTCATGGACGCCGATCTGGCCATCCTCAAAGAGCCCACGTCGGCTAAGCCATACAACATCAAACTCGCCAATGAACTTCGCAGCGGTACTCTCGTCGACTTTTACGACAAGCTCGTGGAGGCCAACACCTTGGTATCCTATCTCAAGCACGACGAAGCCATTCAGCATGCACTCGTTGAGGTCTACCAGAGCATGGGCACAGCGCCGTTCTGGAATGACTTTATATCGCTCGATAGCCAGGATCTCGTCAGGCTCACGAAGCAAGTCGAAGATGACATTTTCGGCCGCCTGCTAATGGATATACGGGGTGGGAAGCTCGATGTGTCTCACGAAAACGCGTACATTCGATTGACAGCGAGGTATCGTCCGGGGACGGATGCCATGGGCCTAAGGAATTTTGCAGCTATGGCTTCGAAATTTTTCGACCGGATGGAGACATAGGGTGCAGAGTCTCTTCTTCGGATGCGCGGCACGCTACGGGGATAGCGCCAGCGCCGCAAACTCTAAGGCAGACCTGTTACCCAGGCGGGAGGGTAGAAAGGCTACGAAATGAGATGAATGGATCGATTCGTACGCAGCTAGTCGCAGCAAGAAGGAAGCTATACAGCAAGCGAACGGCGGAGCTCTCGGGTTCGATACAAGAGTGGAGTTTGGCAAAGTCTCGACGCGCGACGAGATTGGCGAGAATGACTATGTGCATGTTCGAGATGGCGGGACTTAAAGCGCGTGGTGCGCGGAACTACCAAGAACGACTCGTGCAAATATATCCCCAGACGATCGACGAGGCTATGCAGAATCATACAAGAAGGGAAGCCGTGTGACAGTCTGCTAAGCGCAGGCGTTCGCGCATACCGCTATGAGAAAATATGACCTGCGGCATTGCAACGAGATTCAATACGACTCGTTGCAATGAACATGCGTTCCAATAGTGCAACACGCGAGGCGCGTCAATAGAAAGGACTAGGAAGGCGCGTCGGACCAACGCGCACCATAGTAGTCGCGCTATGACGTATGCCAACCCAAGCGCCCATCCTCAACATCTTCCTTCTCGAACCGCACGATGACAATTCGCACTATTTTCGTAAGCTATAAAATTGATCACCATCAATAGAAATCATCAGATTGTTATAATTCCACAACCATGACGCCAACCAAAAAACGCCTCGAAAAAGAATACCAAAGCCTACGCAAAACCCCCGCAGCCGGCTACCACGTCGAGCTAAAACACGGCGACATCTTCGAATGGACAGGCACCCTCCACGGCCTCTCCGCCTCCCCCTACGAAGGCGGCACCTTCGCCTTCCACATCCAATTCACCGACGAATACCCCGAAGCACCACCCAAACTCAACTTCCTGACCAAAATCTACCATCCCAACGTTGACGCCAGAACGGGCGTTGTGAGTTGGAAGATGCTGGGCGAGGAGTGGCATCATAATAATACGATGGAGAAGGTGTTGATAGGCTTGAGGACGTTGTTGGATCATCCGGAGTTGGAGAGTGCGGTTGAGGTGGGGATTGCGAATGAGTATGCGAATGAGAGGGGGGTGTTTGAGAGGCATGCGAAGGAGTGGACAGGGAGGTGTGCTAAGGAGGGGGTTGGGGCTAGTGGGTGAACGTGAAGAAAGGGAGGGTGACTTGGCGTGTGGGAGATGGTGAGATGGAGAAGCTTGTTCAGATGCGCCTTTCTTGCGGAGAAGCGCATCTTCATGCTGTTATCCTTTTCGGTTGTGGGATATCCGCAATTACTCCGCAAGATATCATTTTCGGGGCTCATGCTGGTAGTGTATAATCGCTCTTATAGTATTATATAGCTACAGGCATTATCAAAGGCTTACACGAGGACCGTTCAAGGACCGCCCCTGGACGTCGCCTGATTGAGGTCTCAAACTCGGTATGGTTTCGCTCGGCTTCCACTCAACTTTCACTGCCTCACTGTCACCCCACAGAGATGATAGCTTTCATTCGGATACATCACCACGTTGTCACAATGGTGATGCGGAACGCGCCGATGACTACCACCAAGTAGCAGAAACATAGTGACTGAACAGTGCACCATAGTGTAGTTGTCCCACAGCAACAGAGTACCACCGTTCATAAGGTCAACAAACCCGAATCCAATCATCGCTCCACCAATTCACCCCTTCTCTTCTTCACCTCGGAAGCAGAACAAGTACAAGAGTCTGCCTCCAGAACCAGACTTACAAGGCCTTCACACTCAACCGGATTTACTCATCATGGACCAAACCCGCGCAGAGACAATCACCGATTTCTTCCAAACCCTCATGGACATCAACGTCAAGATTCCCAAGCTAGCTCGTGGCATGGAAGTAAAGCTACTAGCTGCATGTATGGATGCGGGTGTAGCTCCCTTCTGGGATGACTTCACTGAGCTCTCTCTACCGCAACTCCTTACTCTGGCTAGGAAGATGGAGCATGAGGCGGCGGATATGGTTAACGCTAGAATACAGGGCAATAATTGGGATAATGAGGATATGAGGGAGCAGAAGATGGAGTACCTCAAGGCTGTAGCAAAGGTTGGGCCTAATTGTACGCCGAAGGGGTTGGAGGAGTTTGCGGAAAGGTCGAGGATGATGGTGGAGATGGGGAAGATGGAGAGGGATATTGAGAAGGGTATGTCGGGATTAAAGGTGTGAGACGACGGGATGGAGATGACATATACGAAGGAAGGAATGATAGAAGCAAACAAAAGCTTTATCGACACTTTGTAGTGATGAAACGCGAGCACTAGTAGTCCGAATGTTCGTTCCTGCCAAAAGTCAATCCAATGCGATGTGAGGTTGAACAGTAGTGACTTACGGACTAACCTGAATGCGACGAAGGTAGCATCATTATCAACGACCCAAGCCACTTTGGTCTTGGATCATCAATCCAACTCGCTGTTTGAACATCCAAACACATTCTCCGCACCGCTTACACAGCGATAGTCGTATGCTGCTCCGCCTCCAAACACAATATTTAGCCAGAGCGTTGCTTACTTCCAGACCAGAGTTATAACATATCCCAGTTGCGCAACACAAGATCGATGGGGTTTGCATCGTAATCACGCCGTCACCGAACATGCCCTCAAGATGTCAACTGACGATACTCCTTGACCGTCTCACGAAAGCAGTGGGTATCTTGTATCCGTTGTAGACAGTGGTTGGCAGCTTGAACATATTCTCTCTCTTGCTCCTGGTATGTCAAAGGCGTGTCGATGTACTTTTGTTCAAGATCGCTCCGCATGCGAGCTTCCAGTCTAGACACGAGATCGGCTACCTCGGCGGGCTGGAGAAGGAGCTGGTCAAGGTTGTGTGTGATGCTCACGCTAGAGTTCATGGCGTTGATAGCATCTGTAAGGGCGGAGATGAATGAGCCCTTGATGTCTTGGTCTGGTCGAGGAGGGGGAGAGTGATACTCTGCATCAGCAGTATGAGCAGCACCGCTGTCGCAACGCAACCCAAACGCGTCGACAACATGGCCCTTCGCCGAAGAGATGAAGTTCCTCAGACGCCGATGGTAGCCCTTCACTTTATCCACGAACGAGTTGAGTCTGCCGCAATCACGGAGCTCAGACTCAGACTGGGCATCATACGCTCTTTCGATTGCCGCATCATCTCTCTTGAAGATTGAGCCCTGCATTGCGGAGTCGATGCGGTGAAGGACTGCGAGTTCGTCTTGATGAACCATATCCACCATTTCTGAAGGCTGTAACCGCTCTTTCTGCGCTGATCTTGCTTTGGCGTTCATGCGCTTCGCTTTGCGTAGCATACGACAGAGAAAGTGTCGGCGCTTGTCGACAGAGATTCCTTGAAGCGAAGATGGGGCTTTCAGAGGGTTGAGGGCGTCGAATTCTTCTTGGTTGAGCGTCGGATCGGCCCAGCTATCGTGAGCGGATACGTCGGCCATCTCGACGTCTCTGGAGTACAAGACCTCTTTTACTCTTGCTAGGAAATTGCTTGCTTCGCCCAGGGCGATAAGCTCCGTCTGCACCCCGTTTTTGTATTTCTCGTCAAGCCACGTGTCTGACGGAGGAGTAGAACGAGATGACACTTCCGTGTCTATGTCGTGGAGAACCTTGGCATCCAGACTATGCATCAGCTCGTAAAGCCCATTCTGATCGAGCAGCATGCCCTGAAAAGGGCTCAATTTGCAGTGCATTCTGTCCACTTCGTCATGGAAGAACTCCAGCCCTTTTTGGCGGAGCTCGTAAGAGATTCCGTCGAGGTAGCCGTGATCCCCTTGCCGTGGCGCTAACTTCGTGTGTGCAGGTGAAGTCGACTCCGGGGATGCATTACCAGGCTGGAATGTGAAGACAGCGCCAAGAAAAGGCGAGGTTCCGGATCCTGGAGCGTGATCGGTCTGGACATCTGGAGCACCATCGAAGTCGTAGTCCATGTCGTCCGATTCAGCTGCAGTGGTTGCATTACCCTCATGGCTGTCATTCCAGTTGGAGCCAGTTTTCATCGGAAGTGTGTTGGTCTGCCAGTGGCCAGCAGCCGAGCCCGAAGTCACATTCCGCTTGGCAGCGAGGATGGCTGCAGGCACAGGCACCCCCGAGCAATCACTAACCTTGGAGACGAAACGACCGATGAGAGCGAAGAAAGCCTGCTTGTCTGATATGTGTTCAAGCTCGAACTTGACAGCAGCGGTTAACTCCTTATACCGATCGTCGGTGATCGCGATGTCCGTGGCGGTGATGTGGTAGTCAATGGCTTTGCTCAGTATGCCCTCAAGCGAATCCAAAGCCTCTTTGTCGTTGTGGAAAATCGTCTCCCTGCGGAAGATGCTGTTCAGGGATGAAGCGATGTCTTTGACGCCTTGCTTGCGGACTCGCTTGGGAAGAGTAGAGCCGACGACGTATATGATAGTGGTGCGCTCAATGTTCTTGTCGATGGCGAGGTCGGTGAAGCCGCTGAGCGCTGCCTTGAGGTGGGTGAGATCATGGCTCGCTGGGGGTTGTGCAGGCTATGAGATGTTAATCACGAGTCTGGTTATCATGACGAGATACCAACCATAGACAAGCCATACGATGCGCCGGTAGCAAACATGGTAGCAGAGTCCATGGCTTTTATGATGTCAGTCTTGACCCATTGATTTAATGACAACGCCCTTACAAGACTGCGGTCGACAAGTCTGTGCTCGGAGGTGACGATAGTGGACTGTATACGCGTCTGTAATAAGGAGTGGCGAGGCAGGACCAGTGGGGAGTGATCTGTCTAGCGAAGACTGAAGTGCACAGCGGATGGAAGTCTATGATGGAAGCGATCAACCGATGGAAGCGCTGATGGTTCAGGGAGCGTGGGTACGAGAAGTGCGTCTGTGCCAGTGGTGTTGAGCTGGGTAGCAGAGGGGCGATGGTAGTTCACAGCGTCAGAAGCGGCGCGGGTTAAAGCATTATTTGAGTCGCCAAGACTGCCGGCAAAGCGCGCTGCGGACCAGGTGCTATTGTAGCTATTGTGGCAGGTATTCGTGGTAGTGAAAGTGCAAAACGGCCGAGCACCGGCGCAAAGTAAGCTGCAGAGCGTGGAATGCTGCTCCCAATCTTCTATTTGCTGAACCATTTCCACATGCTCACCCACAAGGTCACCAGTATGAGCATTTATCGATGGCAATGGTACGATTGGCATGATCTTCTTGGAGTTCTGATTTCTTGGCGCTGTCTGCGCGGGATATCACAGCTACCGGTCTTGGTTTCCGCATCCTGCGTCATCCATAGTATGTACATCCGCTATGCTTGGTATTTCCTCCTAGTCGCATTGATGATTCCCTACTCCTCGACTCCTGGTCATCAAGAGCTCAATGGTCCCATGGGTGCTTCCAGCCGAGGAGCGCTGGTCCGTCCTTCTTCGCGCGGTACATCAACTGCCATTGTCAGCGCTATGCCACCTTCAACCTGCTCTTTTCACATACGAAGAACCACATGGACGCGCCGAGGCCGGTGGCCATGAATCGGTATAGCGGTCGGACCGGGTGGATGTGGATGGGGTGGTTCGGGTGCGGCGCATATTTGGGCGGGCCCATGCGGGCTCGTGTGGGTTGCATGATGTTTGTGAGCCTGGTGGACTATCAATATCGTGAGGTATCTTCGGAGGGTAGTAAGGTAGCGTACCTGGTTGCTATGGGGTGCAATGGCCTGTTGACGTCTTCGTGATGGAGGTGTGGTTAAGGTCGATCGGAGGCTACGCTAGCGTGCGGCGCCAAGCCAGTGCCATCAACCGTGGATCGCGTTCTTTGCTCCTTCACCTACGATAATGTCTTCGCCTATCATCATGCACGCACAATAGCTTCTGCCTCCTAACTCCCGTTCATGGCAGCGCATGCCATCGCGACCACGTAAATCTCGCAACATCACGCCACCGGGTTCGAGAAATAGCCCGACTCCCCTGCGGACATCTGCGCCGAGGACCACTAGCAGCCGGTACAAAGCGTAGCCGCGAACATTCCATCGCGAACCCAAGCCACCACCACCGCCGCCGACATGGCGAACTCGGCAGGCGCGACGCCATCACAGACCCTGCAGCGACGGTTCAAAGGATGCAGCAAGATCGGCGAATACGAAATGATGAAGAAGCTTGGAGAGGGCACTTTTGGTGAAGTCCACATGGCGCGACAAAAGGCCACCGGCAGTATCTTTGCGCTGAAGAAGATCCTGATGCACAACGAGAAAGATGGCTTCCCTATTACGGCGCTGCGAGAAATCAAGCTGCTCAAGATGCTATCGCACGACAACGTCCTCAAGTTGGAAGAGATGGCCGTGGAACGACCGAAGACCGAGGGCAGGAAACGCGCCATCCTGTACATGGTCACGCCCTACGCCGATCATGATCTATCAGGTCTCCTCGACAACCCCGAAGTCCAGTTCAAGGAGGCGCAGATCAAGTGCTACATGCTGCAACTGTTCAAGGGCCTGCGATACCTCCACGATAACCACATCCTACATCGAGACATGAAGGCCGCCAATCTTCTCATCAACAACCGCGGACGTCTACAAATAGCAGATTTCGGTCTTGCGCGACACTACGACGAGGCGGTACCACAACGAGGTAGGGGCAACGGCGAAGCGAAGCGCGAATACACTACATTGGTTGTGACTAGGTGGTATCGGCCTCCAGAGCTTCTTCTGCAGCTCAGGAAGTACACCCCAGCTATCGATATGTGGGGTGCGGGTTGTGTCTTTGGCGAGATGTTCAAGCGCAAGCCCATCCTCGCCGGACAGAGCGACATTCACCAAGCCCAGATCATCTTCGAGCTTGTCGGATCGCCAAACGACGACAGCATGCCGGGGTGGCGCGATCTTCCTGGCGCCGAACCCATACGCGCATTCCCCGTTCACACCGGTACTATTGCTCAACGGTTCCGCGAACTCTCGCCCGTCGGACTATCGCTCATCAAAGACCTCATGAGGCTCGACTGGCGGAAACGGATTAACGCCATCGACGCTATCGACCACCCATACTTCCGAGAACAGCCACTTCCCATGCGCGAGGAAGACATCCCTACCTTTGCAGACTCACACGAGCTAGATCGACGGAACGCGCGAGGCCAGAAGCAAGCGCTACCACCAGCACCACAAGGCGGCACAGTAGGCGGCGGACCAAACGGCGAATGGACCGGCCAGGGCCCACCCCCACAATCATGGCAGAATGGCGACCGAAGATACGGCGGCCCGCAAGACCGCGGTCCACCAGGCGTCGACAGAGGCCAAAGAGGAGGCTACGACCGCCGCTACGAACACCGACCTCCACCCCCACCACCAGGCGGTGACCGCCGACCGAACTGGGGCAACGGCGCAGACAGAGGCCACAATGGCCTCCCACCACCCCCCGCAGACGGCCGTCACCCCCTCCCACCCGTCCCCCGCTACGGCCCCGATGGCGCAGACCGCCGAAGACAACCGCCAGCTGCCGCCGGCGGCGACACCTACATACCCAGCTACGGCGCAGAAGGCCCTCGCCGTTCCCGCGAACCAGACGATCGACCTCGCCGCGGCTCGCGCGACTCCGGTAACTCGAGAGAAGGATACACAGATGATCGCTCAGACCGCAATCGTGCGTACAGGGACCGTCCCGATCGGAATGACGCGAGAGGCTTTGCGAGGGAACGACGAGATGGACGGACACGATCACGCAGTCCAGACCGCAGAGATCAAAGACGCGATGGCCGGGACAACAGGGAAAGAGATGCGGATATCTACCGTAGACGATAGGTCTGCTACGGTTGCAATAACCGAAAAGCGCACGACGGGATCTACGCCATCGGTACCTGTACTGGCACAAGGTTTCAACAGACACTCGATGAGCGGAGTAAGACATGGCAGTTTGAGAGCTTCGTTGTCATGATGCGCGTGCGTGAGAGGTGGGGTGCTGCGGCTGTACCTGTGGTTTATTAGGATGAAGATCGGGTGGCTGCGGAGATGGGTATGGGCGTTTCTGGTTGAGCATTTTTATGGCGTATTTGACTTCTTGGCTGGGGGAGGGGGTTTTATTGATTCGATTATGGGCATGAATACCAAGTTCTAGTGTATGATAGGATGGACAGACAGACAGATAGCATGGCGTGGTTTAGGTAGTTTGGGGAAGTAGTGGTAAAGAAACAGATCACAATATCTTGATGCCTTTGTGATCTACCAGCTTCCAGTCTGTGATTACATCGAAGAATATCTCGGACTTATTCAACGTGCATGCGCATGATCATCAGCGTAATGTATGCATGATGGGTGGTGATACAGCCTCATTGTCCACCTGGGCAGGCAGCTTTTCGATTGTTGTCGAGCCTTCCGCGTCTGGTTCTTGGCGGGGCTGCTGGACAGGCGACAAGCGGGAAGCCGCGCCTCAACTTCACTTTGCCTCCTCCACCTGCATCATCACGCACAACAGCTGACGACAGGCCGCAGCTCAACACACAGCGATGTGGTGCCATTATTGACACCGATACTGATACAGCATGTCATGGGATTGATAGGGCGCCTGAAGATGCAGGCGCAGCAAAGGAAGCTTGGCGGGCTCAGCCTCAGCGTCTCGGTGGTGCACCCCGCGGACCGGTGAAAATGGCTGAGCCTTGTCTCTTCAAATCTCATGTCCTGTAACTCTACACTTACCATACTACAACTTCGAAATCTGCTACGCTACCGTCGGCATGGCCACTTCCTGATTCATCGATGCCAGCCTCCGCTTCTCGAACCGGCGATCACGATTCAGACGAAGACGCTCATACTCATCCCTTGAACGCGGTCTAGCCGTCCTACAGCCTTGTTGCTTCGACTGTAGATTTTTTTAGATCATTGGAGTTTTTCAGCTTTTCCGAACCGTAGCTCTTGCGGGATCAAGAGCATGCCTCGGTGCTACGAGTGCAGCAAGGTTGTTATTACGAACCAGTGGCCATTGGACGAGGGTGCTCTTCGCACATGGTCCTCTGGACCGGAACTAATCAGTTCTGCCGACAGTGGATGCGACCTGTGCTCCTTTATCCGGAAAGAGATAGAGAAGGTTTCGACCGCGAACCTAGCACGCATTCACGATAAGCCCCCGATTGTGCTCCGAAACCACCATAAAGCAATCGTGTTGGAGAAACACCAAATCTACTTCTGCAAATCCGACTTTTTTTCCCACCCCCTCCGTATAGCGTTAAGGTCGAGCTATCACTGGATTGGCATTCCCGCTCTGGAACCTCCCTGTGACCCGGTCCTGCGTGCTCACGAGCTTCTGAAAGCATGCATGCTTGGCGAAAAGGACGAGCATGACCTCTGTAAGCCATGCGAAGTTGATCCATCAGTGAAGGCGTCCTCGCTTCCACGTCGTCTGCTCGATCTCTCCCACAGCAATAGCATTCTCACGCTCGACACGCAAGATTGGATTGCTAGGAACCGCGCCACAATAGACGAGCTTTCCAAATACTGCACGTTAAGCTATCGCTGGGGCCGACAGCCACCACCTTGCATGTTGCGTACCCAACCCACTGCGGACCGGATCATATTTGAGGTTAGCATGCCACAGACGTTCCAAGATGCAATCGCTGTTGCACGAGAGCTTGGAATACGCTTTCTCTGGATTGACGCCTTGTGCATAATTCAACCCAGCGCACACGGCGATTACACTGACTGGAATATGGAAGGACCACGTATGTGGCTGGTTTATCAGAATGCGATCTGCACCATCGCTGCTACTTGCTCCGACCAACCCAGCGACGGCTTCTTGCATAAAGTCGGAATTGACTACAATCCGCCCTGTAGCATTCCTGAAGCAGGTATCACAGATAGAACGCGAGAGCCTTTGTTGATGTTCACGGGTGTCCGGACACAATACGCCTCTGTCGTCGCTTCCAATCTGAACAGACGCGGCTGGGTTACACAAGAACGCCTGCTTTCGCGAAGGATACTACATTTCTCTGAAGAGGGAGTCTTCTGGGAATGTAAAGCAAGCGGGAAAGAAGTTGAGGACGCAAAAGAACTCGATGACGATGAAGAACCCGATCCGGATAAAGATTATGTCGGGGGTGAGAACGGTGAGAACATAGGACCACATCACGCTTCCTTCATGGTGTTGGGCACTTGGCTAGCTTTCATTGAACTCTATTCAATGTCGAAATTCACATTGCAAGTGGACCGTTTGATCGCTCTGTCATCGATCGCAAGGTGTGTACCAACTGAACGGTTTGGACATGAATATCATGCTGGCATGTGGGGATCACAACTCCTCAGCTGCCTCTCTTGGAGCTCTAGAACTCCGTGTTCCGTAACAGCAAGAGAATCGTGCCTGACCATTGCGCCATCTTGGAGCTGGGCATCGGTAGCTGGTGGTGTTCGGTATCCCAGACGTAGTTTGGGTCCGCATTCGAAGTCTTTGCTAGAGATAATTGACGTGCAAACGTCACTAGCTGAAGCCAGCAATCAGTATGGAAACATCAAGAAGGGCGCTTTGAAGCTGCAAGCTATCCTATGTAATCTTTCTCTGCCTACAGATGGCAAACTTTCTTTGAGATTGAAGGGGCCAGCTTTTTCGGAATCGATATACGGCTACGGATCGCTGGCCTGGGATGAATGCCAGAACCATTCCACGGTGATCGAGGCATACAGTGTCATCCCGCTGGGCATATATCCTGAAGATAAATTATCCTCGTACGACGCCTTGTACGAAGCCTTGGTTATCACCCCACTACTACCAACAGGTGATGAAGTCACAGGCGATTCGTGTGGAGTATATCGGCGTATTGGACACATCTATTGGCAGCTCATTGAATTCAAGTGTGGAAGGGTAGAAGATCCAGGCGATGTGCGATCTAAGCTTTCTGTCTGGTTCGATGCTCTGTTCCCTAATGCCAAAGAGCAGACTATTGTTATAATATAATTCCGTGCGATATAGAGGTCGTCCATGTCCTATACGCAACTGGTAATTCTTTAAACAAAAGTATATGCTACACATCCTCTTAGACCTTTATTGTGCGCTAATTTGAGAGCGTGGTCTTTATTATTACCTAAATCACTACTTCGTGATTAACGACGACGTGTCATTTCTCAGATCACGCAGCGAACTACTCGACTCAAGGATCTTCAACAGCAGAGTCGGATAGTCCCATCCCAAGCCAGCAGCAGCCAGTGCCGTCAAACTAGCTTGGTTCTCTCTACCAGGCCTACCAGGACCCGTCATGTTCTGATCACACTTTAGCCATGTTACCAACAGCAGGTCTCAATTGACCTACCGGTTTCATGTTCACATCAAAGAGAGCGAATGGCGACGATCCATCCTCCGTGAACCGACGAGCGTCAACTCGAATAGGAGCAGTACATTGGAGCAGCTTTGCTACTTCAACACACTGTCGCTGTACCTCACCATACTGTGGATCGGCCAGGTGTTCGTCTTCGGAAAGACAGCGAGAGTTCTGCATAACAGCGACTGTGCCGTTGTACGGTGCGACACCTGCAAATAGTCAGTAGACATCGCAGACGCTTTTCCCAAGTCAACGCGGCGAACCCACCATCAGCGTGATTAAACCGTTCCACAACCGGCATCGCCCAATACCCGTCCTGTCCCGATGCAGGCGCAGGCGGCATCACAGTAACAGTGACTTCCTGACCCGCAAGAAAGTCCTCGACGATCACGTACACATCCTCTCCCAGTAGATCGCCGCAATGGTCGATCAGTTCGTCTTCGGAGCGACAAACTCTCACTCCATAACTCCCTCGTCCTCTAACCGGCTTAGCGACAACAGGATACCGAAGATCTTCCCACAGTATCTCCCTAAGATCTTCCTCATCAATCATCACATCCCGCGCATCCGGCAGCGTAAACCCACCACGAGAACGAAGAAGATCGTTAACAAACGCTTTATCGTCGCACAGCTCCACCAGCTTCGGTGGCTGTGCCACAATCTTCAACGTCTCAGCCATACTCGTTAGGTTTTCCGCCGTCTGAAGCGGATGCTTCGCAAAGAGTATAGTGTTAGCCCAGAGATGCGTCGCTCCCTTCTCCAGTGCCCACGCAATCTCAGTCTCTGTATCTCCAAAACACCACTCTTCATCTTTTTGTGGATCTGGGGCGGAGGCGGGCGTGATGACGGAGACGGGGCTGTGGTGTTGGTGGGTTAGTGCGTGGGCGATGTCTGCGCTGGAGTCGATGTAGCCTTGGTGAGGTCGTTAACGGTGCGGGAAGGGCTTGTGTATGGAGTAAGACCAAGTACCTCCGGGCTTCTTGGGCTTGCGCACCCCATTGATTAACGGTGGATCGAGTTCTTGGTATAGCACTGCTACGCGTGGCGCGGTGGTGGTGTACATGTGTCGACGGGTAGTGGGCACACTCAGACGGCGTCCAAGAGCTGATTTCGCACTGCGCTTCGTGAGACTGATCATGACTGATCAGCAAGCTAGAAGTATTAGGGAATGGTCGAAATGGTGGTATCGAAGAACAAGATCGCGCTCGGAAAGGTCCGACGAGCGTTCGGAAACGTTTCCGAGCATCCCGTGCACCAGAAGGTATCACGACTTCTGCACGGACTCGGGTCGCACAAGCAACTATGACTTCATTGTGGAACCAGTGAGTGCTCTCAATTGTAGTACGCACGTGGCTGGAAGGCCTCGTCCAGGCTAGATATTGCAGTGCAGCACTGTTGGGACAAGGATAGAGTGCCCGTTCGAGTCAAAGTGCGCCCGGCCAGGTTCTGGTTCGGGCTGGTCATTTGGATTGTGCTTTGGTATAATAACTACGTCGCGATTGCGAACATAATTCTGCAAAGAGCCGAATGACACGGAATGTTGCGCTTTTATGTTGTCAAAGCCGTTTCGGTCTTAGTACGTTGGTGTGACGGTCTCTCCCACGCTAGAGATTGCAGTGCAATCAGCTTCACCGGTGGGCTGCAGTGCCCGTCATCCTACCACCGTTTCTGCGCGTCCGTTCATACATAGTGATGCATGACAGGGCGGCAAAAGACGTGGATTATTGGCTGCTTCTTCGACAGACATACCCGCCCCTTCGCGCTAGAGATTGCAGTGCAGTAAAGGCTGGGTGGATTGATGAGCTGCGGACGTACGCATTGACGGGAATTCAATATTGCTGCTCCAATGAGGCCAAATACTAGTTAATTCGAGGTTTTTGAGTGGCCCAAAATCCCTACCGGAAGCTCTTCCCTATTGGCAGAGCAATAATGAATTTCCGCCATGGAGTATGCAACCATCACTTGACCCCACACCCTTACAGCTCCTCCATCAATGGAGGTTCACGTTCTTGTTATAGCACTGCCACGCGTGGCGCTGAAGTCACGTACACGTACCAACGAGCTGCAGCAACACTCAGGCGGCTTTGGCCAAGCAACGCTCCCTTCCCGTTAGATCCTCGCAGCCGAAGACGTCTAAAGCGCTTGAAGATAGTTGGGAAGCTGACGTTGAAGTAACGAATCGAGCTCGTATAGGAATGAAAAGCTCTGGGAATCTTTGGAGACATTTTCATGCCCCGAAGCACTTTCTACCCTGGTGCATATGAGGCTGAGAAGACTTCTTCCACGCTAGAGATTGCAGTGCAGACTGGGGTAGTGCCGCCTCATTTTTGCGCGTCTCTCCAGACCAATGGTTCCCGAAGCCGACGTGGTATGAACTCGTGTGGCTTGTGGCGGTGTTTTACAAGGCTGTGCAAAAAGAGCGTGGATTATTGGCCGCTTCCGCGAGATACATATCCGCTCCTTTGCGCTAGAGATTGCAGTGCAGCGTCGCCTGAAAGCGCAATGTTAATGCTGACCGGTCACTAACACAATCCGGTCTGGACATGCGTGTGGCTTCTTGTCATGACCAACTATAGTGCTCTGCGAAAGCCTTCTGTCAGCCTTCGAATCCTTAGAGAGCTGTATGGCTGGCTACTTTAGTTACATACCTTCTCTTCCACGCTAGAGATTGCAGTGCACCTGGAAAACTCTGCACCATGTGGTTACATCCTGAGAGAGAGCAGCAGGGTTGGCTAGCTTCCCCACGTACATGCTCGTCCACGCTAAAGATTGCAGTGCACTCGGGATGAAACAACATATCGTGCCGAGTATGTGGCACGAATAACATACCAAGGATTTGGCTACTTCTCTTACACGTTTGCTCATTCGCGCTAAAGATTGCAGTGCAAAAGATTAATCGCGTGTGATAACGACATGGATTATATCCTGCGCCATCCCACCCCCACGCTTACTCCCAACCTCACAGCCCCTCCCACTCCGGCCGACACCGACACCCCCTCCGCCTAACATGCAACACCCCCCTCTCCGCTGCCCTAACCATCCACTCCACCCACTCATTCTCATGTTCCACAACCCCACTCCACTCGCCCGTTGCAATCCTCTCATCCCTACTCTTAACCAACCAATCCCTCAGCCTCCTCACACACGCCTCTAAACTCTCCGCTACACTATCTTCCGTCGCACCCGGCTTCTGTTGCTCCAGATACATCATGCGTTCCATGCGCGTCAAGAGGGCGAGTTGGATAGAAGCCGACTCTGTGTATTTGGAGAAGAGTAAAGTGGCAGACGCGCGGAGGGCGAGCGCATCTTCGCGCGTTGCGGTTGTGCAAGGGAGGTGGCGTTGTGGGCGGGCGAGGTGGAAGGAACCTGGAGGGCGGAGGACGACGAGGTCGTCGAAAGAGGTGGTTGGAGTTGGGATTGTTGTTGTGGAATCTCGTGATGTTGGCCTGGTCGAGGACTGTGACTGTTGGGATAGGTGAGATTGTTGCACTTGCTGTGATCTCATTGTGCCGTCCCAGTTAAGATATGGATTACTATCCAGTGACCTCGTGGTGTGTAGTTCAGACGCTTGATCCTCAGCGTCCCCGCACTCCGTGTCGGGGTAGTCGTCTGAATCGTACATGAACGTCTCTGAGTAGCTGAATCCATAGCCTTCTCTTTTCTTGCCCGGTTTGATCAAGACCGGAGGTTGGTGGTAGATGGACGTTTGTGGTTGGATGGGTTGGACCGGCGATGCTTTGGTGGTAGATTGTGAACTCGAGGAGGAGAAGCTGGCACCGGGGGTCATCGTCAGCCCCGAGAAACTCTGGTTGAAGTTGTTCTCGGAGTGGAATTGTCGCTCGACATCATCGATGAAGGATTCGGAGAAGGAGAAGCGGAGTTGGATGTTTGATGATGGTGGTGGCTGGCTCTCTTGACTGCTCTTGAGATCACGTGCTGGTATCGATTCCCGTTGCGATGGCATGGTCGGCGCTGGCCTATGGGATAAGGGATTGTTGTTTTGCTGCTGCGGGGATATAAGCCTGGGTGGCTTTGCGCCATGTATATATAGTACTTACAGGCCCTCGCCACCTAGGCGGCCGCTTGCTCTTTCCCTCGATTGCTCGACGCTCTTGTAACTTTGTCTGTTCTACAGATACTGGAAGAGCAAGTACATCGATACTTCTACTTCTGCGCAGACTGACTTGTCGCTGTTTTGTTGGGCCTTCTCTTCTCTGTTTGACGTTAGTCCCATGATCGTTCATCGCGCAAGTTGACTTACCTTTACAGGCATGATGTGTATATGCATGCGCGTCGCGCGTTTTCGGTTATTCGATATACCAAGGTGGTCGCACGTGTTTCGTTTAGGAAGCAGGGACAAAATACCTTCGACTTTGGGGAACGCGACTAAGATAACTGTGTTGATTGTTGATGCGTCGTGTATATATCCCGGGGTACATCTGTCGGAAGGCGCGTCCGAGTCGCGTGGGTGTTGACTAGCGTGGTTAGCGCATAACACGGCTCTCGTCCTATCACCACGGTGATTCTGAGTATCCTGAGACATATTGCCCCACTTTCTTGTAGTGTATCATCACGGCTGCGATCTTTGGGTGGTGCGGATGTAATCTTGTCGCATTACTTTCGCGCATTCCAATGGTATCATTTCTAGCAATTCGCTGTTGTCCTCCTTTCGCAACTAGTGTCGCGAACGTGCTACTTCTTTCCAGTCTCCAACAACTCCACACCTGTTCTCACAACGCCGATCGCCGCACCGGTCTGTATGGCTTCGTTACCACCTCCACTCAGCCTATACTCGATGTCTGCCAGACCTGCCATCCATGTCACCATGACCTGCGGCGGCACGTCGTTGCTGACTAGCTCCTCGCTGATCGCCGTCAGGATATCTGCCAGCGCGAGTCCCTTCATGATCTTCAGGTTATTGACCGTGCGCAAGCACTCTGTCATATCATTCTTCGATAGTAACGTCTCGATGATATACTTGATGTCTGACGGGTGTGGTGCTGCTATGCAGTCGTAGATGGTCGTCTGCGTGATCTCGTCGCGCACGATCGCGGATGGGTCGGGTGCGGGCTTGCCGGGTGTCTGAAGCGGCGTGCTTGATGCGTGGCAGGCCTGTAGTACGTTAAGTGCTCGCCTCATGTCTCCTTTGCTGAGTGTGACGAGCGAGTCCGTCGCGTCTTGCGTGATGTTGACCTTCTCCTCCTCGATGACTTTGTCGACCAGATTCCTGATGTCCTGATCCTTCAGCGGGGAGAATCGGAACCTCGTGCATCGTGATAATAACGCTGGCGAGAGCTTGTGTGTGTAGTTGGCGATGATACAGAAGCGAGTGTTCGCAGTGTACTTTTCCATGATTCGTCGCAGGGCCATTTGCGCGGTCGCTGTCATGGCATCGGCTTCGTCGAGGATAATGAGCTTGAACGTTGCAAGCGAAGAGTCTCCCGCCTTGGGTGCTGCAGAGAAGATCTGCTTTGTGCTACTGAATGTCTTGATCTGCTCCCGCACAACGTCGATACCTCTGTCGTCTGAGGCGTTCAGTTCCAAGACCATCTGTCGCATGTTCTTGTTTCCGTATATGCGACGTGCGAGTGCGAGGACGGTCGACGTCTTTCCGGTACCTGGAGGGCCGTAGAGGAGGAGATGGGGTAGTCGCTGAACGTGTTAGCTTAGCTTCTTGGAGGCAAGTCCTGACCGTACATTTGAGTCTACAAACTTGTTGATGGTCGCTATTATGTCCTTGTGGCCTTCGACGTCATCGAGGGAATTTGGTCGGTACTTCTCTACCCTGTCTGATAGTTAGCAGGTATGCGAAAGACAAGACAGTTTTAGCCTCACCATGGCAGGGAATCCTCAGCTTCAACGGGTAGATTTGCAGCGCTCCTCTTGCCCTTCTTCTGGTCTCCACCGAAAGTAATCGAGTTGTCTACCGCGGGCGCATCCACGTCCATCTCATCTTCGTAGTCGGACATTGCGATAGCTGTAATGAAGATTTAAAGGGTCTCTGGATGGATTGAGGTCGAATTGAGGTAGCTAGAACGTCGATTGGCGGTATGGAGGCTGTTAGTAAGAAAATCGAGGGAGACGCGCCGCGCGCAGGGACGCGTTGATGGGGCGGCTTAGTCACCCCCCGCTGCTCAGCCCTACCAGCACACCTCACCGAGCGGAGCTGCGCCGTCACCTCCGCCGAGCTCCCAGAACACCGCCAGACACCAACAAGCTAGGCGACAACACTCAAGATGCCGGTGAGTTAGAGCATTCCCTCATTAAAACGATGCCTCAGGGTAGTATCGAATATGTTGAGCGACAGCTAACACACCCAGGCCTACCACTCCGTCTTCCTCGATGAGCCCAATCAGCAATTGATTGGTACAGCTACACCCTCCAGCTCCGGCATAGGCAAAAGTGACTGACGGGCGCATCAGGCAACTTCGCTCTCCTCCCCCTTCGTACACGCACCCGCGGCCCTGCCATCCAGCTGCCAGCTCTACCTGCCGATGTCACAGAGCTCACCATCGATGCCTCACACGAGTCGTACGATCCGCTAGACGAGATCCTTGCCCTCTTCCGCGCCAACACATTCTTCCGCAATTTCGAGATCAAGGGCCCCGCCGACCGTGTCCTCATCTATGGCATCCTATACGTTAGCGAGGTACTGGGAAAGATCAAGCCGGGCATGAGTCGGAGAGAAGCCGAGAAGGTATGCTGTCGGGAAGACGGATGAAGAAGGTGCACGCTGGAAGCTGACTACATGGCAGGCTGTCATGAACATTGCGCTGGACACGAACTTTGCGATTCCGGGCGACGCAGGCTTCCCGCTCAACCAGGCCTTCGAGGCGCCAGCGGACAGGAACGGAGCTGAAGTGCTGCGACAGTACATCATGCAGATGCGACAAGAGCTAGCGACACGGTTACTGAACAGGGTATACGCGGACGAGACAAACACACCCAGCAAGTGGTGGCTCAGCTACACCAAGAGGAAGTTCATGGGCAAAGCGTTGTAGATGAGCATGGACTTGGTTATAGCATGGTTGAGGTTGTGTGACAGATGTCGCAGTCAATAAACTAACAAGACATCCTCTGGTTTGCGGCAATGGTGTAGTACTACCTTCTCATCATGTTCATGTGTCGCACCTGTCAAAACGTCCTGGCCCAATCTCGACATCCCGTGATTTTGTATAATTCCCAGGGTCTAGTCACGCGCTGACGTCATGAGCTCTTCCAAGGTTGCCCTGCACTACCTGCGTTTGGGCAGCAGGCGCGGACGCTGGCGTTCTATTTGCTTGATCGCCTAAGCCTGCACTCCCGCCGCAACATCAACGCGCAACACCCATCTTCTAATTTCTAATTCTTTATTGTGCACGCACTCGATTCGGCGGGGTCATCTTCAGCTGCCCTTATCATCGCTCGCTACACATGCCCCGGCTGCCCTTTGGACCTAGCCACATGTCAGCTCCACCGATAGGCCAAACAACAGAGATGCAGGGTATGCCAAGAGTTCCGGAAGGCTTACGCCTGATGTTCAGCGCTAACACTTGTTGAAGAAGAAGATGAATGGACCGATGTGTCCGACGACATTGCTGGACTTGGTCTAGACGGCCATGGCAAGCCTGATGATGAGAGCAACAAACCACTTTCTGAGGAAGAGCTTGCGCTACTACCCAACAGTAGGTCTTTCCACCTCACGAACACCATTCCCGTGATAGCAAGCCCCGACGCACACCATTCCAGTTGGTTAGCTGACCGCGCAGTGCCTATTCTCTTCAGCAACGATCTACCACCATGCGGTCTACTGCCGCAACTTGCATACGAAAACACTGTCCGTCGGCTGCGCAAACTCTGGCTCGAGCGCGCCCACCAAGCATCCGCGAACATCCCCCTCCCGAGTCTCTGCCGCTTAGTCCTGGACGAACTCAAAGCCGAAGAAGAGGAGCTCCCAGCCGGTAGCCAGGCCGGAACCAAGAACCGCACTCCTTGGCGACGCGAAACAGTCTTCCAGTACGAACTCCGCTGGGCCAAGTACTTCGTCCGGGAAGCCGAGACTGCGGAGAAAAGAGTTACGATGACGGAGAAGCAGCTCGACAAGCAGGACTTCATGGATAAGATGTACCCGATACCTAAGGAGTTGAAGATTTATGTCAACAACAAGAAGAATCAGAAGATGGTGTCGGATATGTGGAAAGAGTGGCATCACAAAAAGAGAGGGACTGTGGAGCAGGAGAGTGCGGGGCTGGGTGTTGGGGGTGCGAAAGAGGTCGATGCTGAGCCTGCTGGGGATGATGGAGAGGATGGTGAGGAGCAGGATGGGCAGAGACAATTTGTTGATCCGACGGCTTAGGAGCTGAGTCGGCAGGAACTTCATGAATGGCTGCTGGGTTTGGGATTGTGAAATGTCTTGTAACATTATCTTGCTTTAGAGAGTATTCGGTACCTTAACAACTTGCTTTTACACCTTCTTCCGCACCCAAAAAATACAGCGCGAAGTGTTAGGCTCGTGTCTGTGTCTTTGTGCTTGCAACAAGGATCTGATTAAAAGAAGCCAGATATATTATCAGGGAAGCTTTGGCAGTTCTCCGGTGGTGAAGATGACTGGCCAACTGCTGCCAATGTCAAGTACCCTCAACACGCGCGGCCCACTCATCCATCTTCGCCAGACGATTGCGTTCCTCGCTCTTCTCAGTACTGTCCAGCAGCCCATGCTGTTCAGTTCCGCCTTCACCTCGCCTCCACCCTCATGGCTTATCATCAAGCGAGCTGTTAGCGCCATCTCCACTGCCAGAAATGTGCCAGTCTCTCACCTTCACCTCGTCTTACGCTCTACGTCCACAGCCCCGCCAGCAAGATATAAAACCCTGCTCTCCCACTTTCCTTCCCTCTCTCCCTTCCCATCCCCATCTCGCACCATTAAGCGCCCACAACGCATCTTTATCAAGCCTTTCTTTAGCTTTTGCTCTTGCATAGCACTCAGTTTCGCTCACATCTTATAAACGAAGTACCACAAAGTAAGTTCGTCCAACTCATGCTGTTGCACATATACTGACCGGTGCCGCAGACCAACCTTCAGCATCACCGTCAAGATGGTTAACTGGACCGCGGATAAGGATCAGATCGTAAGTTCATCTTGCGCGCCACTGGCTTGCCATCCACGTCCTCGCAGTTGCTTACTAGAATGCTAGATCCTGAAAGGAATCTTCAAGTTCCACGACATCAAGAGCAGCGCGCCGCTTCTCAAGTACCTGTCCGAGGAGATTGGCGGTGGTGAGTACATTCCAGCTCTTAAGTGCTATCGCACTGCTTGTGTCCACGCTCTATCGCACCCCCCGACTCTTCCCTCACAGCACTTTCGCTTCCCCTTCCACACAGAACATCCCCAGCTAACATGCAACCCTCAGACTGCACCCCCAAGGCTGTCTCCCACCGCCTCACCAACATCCGCAAAGGCGGCACCACCCACGCCGTCGCCTCACCCACCCCCGCTGCCTTAACACCCAAGACCCCTCGTTCCAAGGCCAAGCCCGTTCCGCGTAAGAAGAAAGCCGTCTCAGAGGAGGTCGACAGCGACGGTCCCCAAGGCCTCATGGATGACGATGAGGTTCTCTCTCCGTCTGCTGCCCGCGGCAAGCGTACCCTCAACGGCAAGCGCAAGCCTACCTATGACGAAACTAGCGACAAGGAGGACGAGGAGGGCGAGGTCGAGGATGAGTATGTTCCGATGGCTAAGCGGGTTAAGGAGGAGCCGGTTGATGAGGAGGATGTCGTCGTCGAGGAGCTGGTTGAGGAGGAGGTTTAGTCAATTTTCTGAGGGCCTTGGTTGGTGGCGTATGTTTTGCGACGCTGCGAACTTTGTCCACTGATGAGTTTGAGGAAAGGTTTCATGGTTTGCAATTCGGCGTTCGGTGGTTGGAATGACGGATTTATGAACTGGTGAGCACTTTCGGGCTTCGGCGTCGGGAGTTTGAGCTGGCGTTATCTAAATGGGCGAAGTCATGAGGCTGAATGGGCCTATATGGAGTGCATCAACGGCACGTATAGTATATGCGCATTCATGATTGACCAACTCTTTACGATCACGGACACAAAGCTTCTGAATATATCTCCTCCCGAAGTCTATTCGCATGAGTCTCTTACAGATAATGTGATCATTTTCATGATGTTAAAGGCTATAGAAAGGATATGTGGTAGGCTGAAGATAACTTCCGGGGGTGGAAATGCCCACAGCTGAGACTATTGTGCTGCACTGCAATCTCTAGCGCGAATGAGTTTGTGATGGGTGCCAAGCCCAGGTGCACTGCAATCTTTAGCGCGGACGAGCCTGTGTGCCTGTGTGCCTGGATGTAAGCTAGAAGTCATTGGCCAATCGGAAAGTGGGATTCCCCCGACCTTCAGCGTTCTGACTGGTGTGCACTGCAATTTCTAGCGTGAACGAGGGCTCAGGTCGCGCCTGATGTGGTCAGCCACCTGAGAGCAGCGACGGGGGCTTTTTCTGCGAGCCGTTCTGACTGGTGTGCACTGCAATCTCTAGCCTGGACGAGGGGTCAGGTCACGCGTCTTGTGATTAGCCATAAGCCATCGTGGGCCAGTGACTTCGGTCTGTGAGACTGGAAGACTCTGTGTGGGCTCAAGAAGAGGATTGCGCTTCATGACTTGCTGGGGGTATCGTTGGTGAACATCCTGTGGAAGTTGCGTTAGTGTTGTGTCCGGCGCGTGGGTTCCGTGGACTCCAGGGCTTTGACTACACTTCAGCCGCGCATTTGATCGTATGCGCCCCGCTACCCGATGCCGCTACCCAGATGAGGTAGGAGATGGTTACTGCACTGCAATTTTTAGCGCAGAAGAAGAGGCATCTGGAAGTAGTCGCTAACCAGATCCGGAATCGTTCTGACGTGCAAAGGGATCTGACAGGTGTGGACTGCAATTTCTAGCGCACACAAGTGCATATGCGAGAAGACGGCCCTGCAGCAATAGTTAAACGCTTACCGGGAGTGGCCGGGCGCCTGCACTGCAATTTCTAGTGCGAAAGAGCACTTGACGAGATGGAAGTACAGGGTGTGCTACATCTCTCGACCAACGTGCCTCGCCACAGTCACTAGCCGTATAACACCAATCACACTTCTTAGGTCTCTAGGGTGAGGGAAGCCTGGGGCGCAGCACGATGGAGGACTCTCGCTTCCAGAATGAGGCGCGCTCTTTTGGGCACAAATTGCTTCAGCCTGCTGTCATCTTGGGCACGCTGCACTGCAATCTCTAGCGCATATAAGTGAGTGTGTAAGGAGGTGGCCCGTTAGCCACAGCTAGAACAACTCCAGGCGTGCATTCTGCACTGCAATCTTTAGCGCAAAGAAGCACCTGATAAGAGGCAAGGCGCAGACATCAAACTTGGACTGGGCTTCTTACTTGCACTGCGTTTCTAGCTTAGACAAGGAGGACGTATGAGGTAGCTAAACGTTATGAGGCATCAAAGGCAGATATAATGTAACATCTAGTGCGAACGAGCACATCTGGATGTATCGGTTGCTGTTGAGCTAGAAACGAAGGTTACTTGCCTGAGGATAAGCCTGCACTGCAATCTCTAGCGCAGACGAGCGTAGGTAGACGAAAGAGATGCGCTTGATTGGCTGCCATGTTGCATCACCGGTGAACGTCCTCCAGCGGAACGCTCAGCCACCACCGTCTCGGCACGTAGGATGCGTATCCCTTGGGGCCTGGGCCATACGAATGTGACTGCACTGCAATGACTAGCGCGTACGAGTGTACGTGGTGGTAGAAAGGTTCGCTTGATTGGCTGCTGTGACACTGGTGAACGTCACGCGGCGGAACGCTCAGCCACTGTAGTCTCGGCGCGCAGCATGCGCATCCCCACCAATGTCAGCTCCGCGAGTGGAAGTCCTTCGCAAAGGCCCTCAAACCGGTCAGAGACTTTTTCAAGGGTGGGCGTTGCACTGCATTTCTTAGCACGAACGAGACAATATACGAAGTATGACGATGACGAATCGGCTGTTCAACGTAGCGCGTTCCTGCTGAAACGACAACCGGGGTTGAAGAAAAGGGCAGTTGGTAACGATAAGGTTGCGATTAGTCCGGACCTACGTGGACGGTAACGTTGGCGTGGGCTCTTGCACTGCAATCTCTAGCGTAAACGAATACCCATTTTGTGGGAGGAATTCACACCTTCCCACGTCAACGAGATGTGCATCATCATCAACGCGGTTTGACTGCTATGTATCACAGTCCTCAGCGAAAGCGTTGGTAAATGCGATAGAGCGGCCTCCCGAGCATTGCCTTGATATGGACTGGATCGTACGTTCGGCGCAGGAAAGGGCATCTGGGTCGATAAAAGGAGTGTGTGAGATGAATGGTACTCGTTCGGAAGTCATACAGTGCTGGTTTTGGCGTTGCGCTGCAGTCTCTAGTGTGAGAGGGGAGGACGCGGGTATGGACTGTTTTACCGCGGTGTCGCTGCACTGCGATTCTTAGCGTCGAAGAGCACATGTAAGTCACGTGAGCGGAGAAGCATGAGCTGGACCTTGGGAGCTGCCGGCTGGCCTGACTGATTTCGTCCGATAGCTACTGCAACGGCACTGCAACCTTGAGCGCGCACAGTACGTCTGCACTGCATTCCATAACGCGCCAGAGCACGTGAATACCTACCTTTGCATTGCGATCCTCCGTGCGGAAGAGCAATGATTGTTTTCCGAGACGCGAGTGCGCGATATTCTGGGTGTCTCGACCAATATGCGGCGACATAGCGACAAGGAGTTCACCCTGCGCGTACCGACGGGCTTTCGCACTGCTTTCCCAATACAGATAGATCACGTCTTCGTTGAGAAAATGACCGACGGGATGCTTGGTGGATTGCGAGGCTGAAAACACCTCGCGCGGAACAGATTTGGTGCGGTAGAGAACACATCTCCTTGGAGGCTGATAACGTTCGTCCTACGTACCGGCTTGGCGTTGGGCACAAGAGATTACGCCGATCGTGGGGTATGTAGAACCGAGCCAAAAGCTTGGCGCGACCGGATGGCTAGCAACGACATCCGTTTGGAAGCACTAGACGAAGAACGTACCTGCTACATCCCAGCTTAACACTCGCACTAAAACCTCCAATACGGTATATGCGCGCTCAACGACGCAACGGCGCGTGAATAAGGACGGAAGCCGGAGCAGTCGCGATCCGACCCTAGCGTTTCCCATCGGAGATTTTGGCAGATGTCACTCTTCGAGGCTAGCGCCCGGAAACATTCGAGATCCGACCGTTGTGCCTGGTCGTTCACCACAGGATCATCCTCTCGCGTACGGATGGGGTCCACGCAAGATGTCAAAGCGAAACGTCGGCAGGCATCATACAGTCTGTAGAAGCCATGGTTGAAGAGACAGGGTAAAGAGTCTTGCTACCCAGGGGGTTTTGCCGCAGGGCATATATAATGTCGTCCTCCCGTGTGGAGTAATATCGCCATCGTTCTACACATATCCGCATCACATCTCACGTCGCGGATTCGAGGATCAGGATTTCTGTCTTCCAAGCCGCCGTCGAAGTCACTCCACATCTGGTATCATCTTCAACCTGTCGACAGCGATGTCGTTTCAGAAGGCTGCAGCTGCTGTGCTGCTTCTAGTCGAAATTGTAAGTGTTCTCATCTCGCTGATGCAGTCACCCTCTAACGCTTTCTCAGGGTGTCGTCAGTGCAATCGGCATTGCAATCTATCGTCTCTTCTTCCACCCCCTTCGCAAGATTCCTGGACCGAAGCATTTCGCCGTTTCCGGGATCCCTCTGGCCATCGAGAACAGCATCCAAGGAACTTTCGCCAAAAAGGTCCTGAAGTACCATGAAAAGCACGGTGACATGGTGCGTACTTCGCCCAACTCCATATCCATCAACGGAACTATTGGATGGCCTGAAGTTTTCGGATTAAGTCGCAGTGGCCGACCCGAATTTGGCAGGTGGCATGAATTTTACCAGGGCGGAGACACTTCACGCAAGTCGATCTTCCCTAGCAGCAGAGAGGACCATCGACGTCAACGCCGTGTTATGGCACATGCTTTCTCCGATGCTGCTATCAAGGGTCAGGAGGCGTTGATCATGGAGTACGTCGACAAGCTCTTTGCCCACCTACATAAAGACGCCGCGCAACACACCCCGACGGACGTAGTCAAATGGTTCAATTTCACCACCTTCGACATCATCGGCGACTTGGCCCTGGGTGAATCGTTCCACTGCCTGGACAGCAGCGATTACCATCCATGGGTTTCCATGATATTCGCTGGCATCAGAGCTGGCGCGCAAATCGTTGCATTGATGAAGATGCCTGGCCTCAGCTGGATCCTACGGCTGATGATCTCTAAAGAGGACATGCAAACGCGTCATAACAACAGGATCATGAGTGACGAGAAGGTAGAGCGAAGGCTGGCACTTGGCGCAGCACCCGGCGGTCGGAAGGACATTATGACGTACATCCTTCGCAACAACGATGAGAAGGGCATGAGCCATGCAGAGATCCTGGGCAACTCCGAGGCTTTGATCGTGGCTGGCAGCGAGACGACAGCCACAACACTGTCAGGCTTCACCTACTTCATGTCAACGAACCCGCAGGCTTTCGAGCGGCTCCAGCAAGAAGTTCGGACGGCCTTCGCCAACGAGAAAGACATAACGATGTTGTCTACTGCGCAACTCAAGTACCTGCATGCCTGCATTGAGGAGACTTTACGAATGTACCCGCCCGTTGCGGATACGCCTCCACGTGTGTCTCCTGGCGAGTACGTTAACGGCTATTGGATTCCCAAAGGTGTAAGTCATTCCAGATCACTTCGCCTGTCATCCATCAGTCAGAAGAAGTACTTCGAATAAACATGGACAGTCACAGCTAACAACACCTCTCAGACTCTTATCACGATCTTCCAGTGGGCCGTCCACCACAACCCCAACAACTTCGTCCAGCCCGACTCCTTCATTCCCGAACGCTGGCTCGGCCCAGACCATCCTTACCACGACCCACAGTTCAACGCAGACAAGAAGTCTGCCTTCCAACCCTTCTCTTTCGGCCCTCGGAATTGCATCGGCAAGAATTTGGCTTATAACGAGCTGCGCATCATTGCTGCTCGCTTCATCTGGAACTTCGACCTTGAATTGCAAGTCGGAAGTCACGGTTGGCCGGATAACCAGCGGGCGTTCTTCGTCTGGGAGAAGGACCCGTTGTGGGTTCAGTTGAAGGAGGTGGAGAGGAACTAGAGGCGTGTATTTGAGGTTACTCGGGATGCGGAGTGTGTTGTCAGGTGTCGTTTGAGGGTCTCGTTAGATGTTGTGCTTATGTTTGGGCTGCGCCGCCTTGTGTGAGAAGCGTCGAACTCATCTCCTACTCTTGGGCTTTGTAATAGAAAGTAAATATACAGGTGTTAAACTGCTTCTTTAAATCTCAACGTACGACGGTAATCTTTTTGGAGGCAAGACTCGTCGCAGGAAGGCAGGTAGCTAGATTTACAAAACATGACAACGTAGAGAACGACTGATGGAAGCAGAAACACGTGTGGTGAGGTTATCCATCCATATGATCAGCTTCAGTGCGGAAGCCACTATGTAGCCGGGACAAGAGCGTGCGCTGCTGAGCAATGATCTCCGGAAAGGTACCTAGGTAGGTACGTTGGTCGGCTGATCCAATCAGGTCATGAATTTTTCGAGGATCTCACCACCTTTGCACTGCATTCTTTAGCGCAGATGAGTGCGTAGTCTAGGAGGAGTGAACAGTCATTTCAGTGCGATGACAAGGACTCAGGGCGCAGCATCGGCCCGCGCCGCTATTAGGCTTGCACTTCATTTTCTGCGCTAGGGATTGCAGTGCAAATAAGGCCACCAACTATGCCGGCGCTCGAGCACGAGGCTCTTTAACAGGGTAGATTGCTGTATGTGTTAGTGCGTCGTGCACTGCAATCTCTAGCGTGCAAGAAGGGGTATACACGCATGTCAGTCACTCCATCTCCCGCGCTAGAATTTGCAGTGCTGTTCACCCACCACACCCTCAGCCCTGACGCATGCTGGAGGCTGCAGTGCTTGTCCAATTCCGTACCAGCTCTACTGCGGGCGCGCATCGAAAGTCTTGCAGTAGCACTTTGCAGTCTTTGCACTGCAATCTCTAGCGTAGAAGAGAGGCAATACGCCTATGCGAGCGAATTTGCCAGGACGGAACAGCCCGTCTGTCGAGCCTGTCGCACCGAGAGAATACCATGAGTCTAGCTCGGAATCGAAGTTTACTGATGTATACGACGCGTTCGACTAGCTAATGGAATTGACGCGCACGCGCGAGTGTACTATGGTGATGAGTCTACACTGTAAACAGTAGCGTTGAGGATGGCCGAATGTGGAGTGTTATCAGCTGAGGCGGGGCGGCACGGCTCGCGGTCGATGGTGGGCGAAGCCTGGAACACCAACTATTTGTGCGACAGACCATGGATGGCGCCCGTCATAATGTGCATGTGCACTGCGATTTCTAGCGCGGAAGAGGAGGTAGAGCGCATGTGCGGCATGGAACAGCAGGGGGAAGGGCGCTGCGCGCTGCGCCCCAAATGCACCTGTGGACCTTGCACTGCAATCTCTAGCGCGGAAGAGTGGTGATCGGGTTGAGTTGATAGTGCAATGGTGTGCTCACGACGCTGAGATTGGCACTGCGATCTCTAGTGTGAAGAAAGGGGATGTCTACTCTCAAATGAGTGTCACTGTTAGCACGCTTGCTGCTTCTCATTCCTTGAGAAGATACCTATCCATAGATGCGCGAATAGCCTTGCGAGCCCGTCACAACCGCGGAATACTGCCAACGTAGCTGTGAACCAGAGTCTCTCCGTATTTTCGACGCTTAAGACTGCGCATCGAAGTAATCCCATGCATGCAAGTACAATATAGTAGGGTGTGCACTGTGACCATTCGCGTTGGAGTGACGGGCGGGCGAGGGCTGCGACAGCTTACTCAGCAGCGACGGGCCGCGGCCAGCGTGGCAGAAAGCATGGTGGGACAGCGCCTGAGCGAAGTTCAGCCCCCAAATTTGCACTGCAATCTCTAGCGCGTAGGACTACGTACTTACCCAGCCTGAGAGGCCAAAAGCGATGCAAACACGTGCAGGGCATTGCTTTGCGGAGCGGGCTGGACAGGTCAATACGAGCTGTCAAAAGTCGTCAGTGGAACGTTCAGAGCGCAGGCCGCATGTAGTGCACGGCAGCGATCAGCGCTGGAGAGAGGCCATGATCCTGTCATGAAGCTCGCCTTTGATGGCGATGGTATATGCGAGGTATCATCGTAATTTGCCGCGTAGCATGTGTGCTGTGACTGAAGCAGACACGCCGGAAGATAATGTTGTGAGACGTCATTCAATCACAGCAATTTATGAATCAAGAGTGCTTGTGGATCCATCCTTATTACTGAAGAGAAAGAGTGGCGATGCGATGTGCAGCGTGACCCAGTCTCGAGAAGAAGCGGCCGCAGCTGCTGTTGGAGCGCGCCGAAGGGGACCTCGCACATTATAAGATGCGGGTCTGCCCTGCACTGCAATCTTTAGCGTGGACGAGTGATTAGTGCCTGCACTCCGACTGGTGTCATCCGACCACCACTGGATCATTCGTTGCTCGCTCGTGGACGCCACACAAGCAGGACCGGTGGCGCAGCAAATACCGGTCAAGGGCATGTCAGCCTTGTGACTCGTCACACCCATGTGAGTTCAATACTCACCGGTTTATTATGCTATACACGGTGGCTTGCAGGCGTGACAAGGCATACGATGCATTGTGAAAGGCCGATTTAGTCAGAATATAGAGCGCGCACCTGCGGGAAGAAAAAACGCCTCTGTCAATTACAAGTCACTTCAAAGCCTATCCCGTTACCACATCATCTTATCAGGAACCGATAGCATGTAGCCAAATGATTTGATGGGGTCGTCAATAACACATCCACTGCATGTACAGTACGGAGCCCAGATCGTGCCAAGATGGTGCGAAAAGCGCGGAAGCGACCGTGGCGATGCGCCTGGCACACATCACTCAGCCACTTTGAATGAGATTGGCTCTTTCCAGTTTGGTGTCCTGCAATGCGCGCATGTCCTGCTAAAGTCAACAACAAATCATAACAGCAGTCCTTTGATGTGCTTACCTGCTCCACCGTCTGTTCCACAACGTAACGTGTGACCAATACTGCTTGCTTCTGTCCGAGGCGCAGGGCTCGTGCCACAGCTTGGTTTTCGACCGAAGGGTTCCACTGAGGCTCGACAATGAAGACGCGGTTTGCGGTTGCAAGATTGAGTCTGCAGGACGAAGTCAACGACGGCAGTCAATAAAAGGTGTGGCAGACTTACCCTACGGCGCCGGTGCCGGTGGTCATGATCAGTACTCGCAAATTGGGGTCCTCCGTGAATTGATGCAAGATACGTTCGCGTTTGGTCGTGGAGCATTCGCCGTCGATGCGCTCATGGGTCCACGTGTTATTAGACATGTAATGAAGGTAGCTCTCTAGCAAGTTCAAGGTGCGAGTCCAACAAGTGAATATAATGCTGCGAGTGTGTTAAGCTTGCCCTTCGTATGCGAGATCTCATCGTGCATACCTTTTCGTATCCCATATATCGACGGAGACGTCGTTCATCAAGACCTCCATCTTCGAAGACCGTCCGTTTGCTCGAAAGTAGGTATCTTCTTGTGATTCATCCATGAAACGAGGTGCTTGAGTAGATGTATTCCACAGGGGCTGACAAAGAGGGCATTTGGTGGGTATCTCGTCGTGACCACTAGGCGTGCTCTGGATTAGGCATTGCGAGCACAACACATGCCGGCAATTCTCGGTATAGCGATGAAACATGGAGCCGCTGTTGAAGGCGGGCATCGGTTGCCGGCATACTGAGCAGGTGATCTCACCGTCTCGCCCTAGTGAGATCTCCAAAGCCTCCCTCTCGTCCAGTAAGTGCAGTTTGCGACGATTCCAGGAGAAAGGTTGCTGCCAAGTACCATGGTTGCAGAGAATCCGTAGTTGAAGTTGTACCTGGAACATGCCCAGCGTACTCTTTTGATCGAATGTGCCATTCTGGTTGCGAACAGCTCGGAACATGATCTCTTTGGTCTGCTCGTATTGCAATCGCTCTTCTGTCGAGAACGGTACCTCTCTCACTCGGTGCTGCTCAGCCGGCAAATGCAGGACATCCTTGGTTCTGCGCAAGCACATGGAGTCCAGAAGGCGAGTGAAGCGCTCAATCGCAATGGTACGTCTCTTACCGCCCTCATCAAAAGGTATAGCAATCGTCTTCCGGAAGTTTGACAAGCTGTGAAACGGGTTTACTCTCAAGAAGGCGAACAAGGAGCCGATGTCCTCCAGGCGGTTTTGTATAGGCGTGCCAGTCAGACACCACCTCGATCGGGCCGCGATGTCAGCTACAGTGCGGTACAAGATGGTAGATTGCCGTCGTATAATGTGGGCTGCGAGATAGTCGTCAACGGTGAGCGGCCAACGTTCGATAACTTACTCACCTTCATCAATGACGAGACGATACCATTCAATATGCCTCAACTCGTGCTTGGTCCTGGCAAAATCTGACGCGAGCGTATGATAGGTAGTAATGACAAGGTCTGCCTCCATGAGCCTCTCTAGGGAAACGTGTCGATGAGGGCCATGGTACTTGATCGCTTTCAAGGCTTTACGAGTAGGCTCGTCAAAATGCCTTCCAAGGTGAGCAGCTGGAGAGTATGCAACGATCTATGTGACTTACTTATCTAGTTCCTGAAACCATTCATTGATCATGACTGCGCCGTCAGCCCAAAAGCACTAGCGTGTATCGCAAGGATGGTATACTCACGGTCTGATGATGCAACGATCAAGGTCGCTCCAGAGCGGCGTCTCTTCTTTGGTATTTCCGAAGTCGCATTGTTCAAATCATCGACGCGAATAGCCCAATCGTGCGCAGTATTTAGCGTCCGTAGTACAAGGGCTAGTACAGAGAGAGTCTTTCCCATCCCCATCTCGTCTGCCAGGATACCACCGCCGGTTTCCTTAGGCTCAACCATGGCTTTCGAATTCTTAGTATGCTTCAAACTCAGAGCGTGTAAAGAACGAACTCACAACGTCCTTTCGTCAGAACATGACGATAGCTGTCAGTGGTGTCAGCAGTATCATGCAAGGCCGTTTGCAGGATACATACCAGTGGACTCCATCTTCTTCGCTCGGCCTCCAGAGGGTGTACTCCTCTGGTATGGGCCCGTCTTCGCGCTGCATCATGAAAGAAAGTGCTGTCTTCTGGTGCCTGGGCCTATCAGCGGGCGATCGCGAAGCATCGATATTCGGAAATGAGAGCAAAAGGTAGACGGAGGCGAATTGAAAGGAACTTACAACAAAAGATCGGTGTTGAGGCGCTCGTCACCCTCTAACCCGTGCAGGTTGCGATCTCGCGTCAAAGAGGAATACACGTTTTGGAGGGTGCTTCTCAAGGTCTGCAGACCGACCTTGTCAGGTAAAGGTTCTTCTGCGATGGTTGGTATCTCAGGTGTCGAGCCTTGGAAGCCAGGGAGGGTGAGAATGTGGGGGTTCTCGTATCGATAACCATCTCGTATGTACACAGGGCGTTGCAGGTAGATCTTTTGCTGCGACAACTCCTTGCCGATGTCGCAAGCGGCTGTCGATGGACCGTACACATTCATCTGTACTCTTACTACGGCTTCTTTGTCCTTCGTGGCGCGACCTATAGTCTCCTGGATGACCACCGTTGGAGCAAAGACCTCCAGATCGATCTCATAGCCTTGCTCTGCAATGCTCGTTAAAGCTCCGTCTAACTGCGCGTTCACATCTCCTATAACAAATCCTTCCGGAAAAGCGACAACGAATTGGGCTTCGGGTTTGATGACAACCATTCGCGCATGGCCTGTGACCGGGGATGATGCAATGTTGTTGAGCTTACGATGGAGCTCCGCCATGTCACCTCGGAGGCGAATAGCGGCCCTGAAGATCTGAATGTGTGTCAGCTCGCTGCGAGATGTGACAACGTCTACGCGATTGTTGGTTCTCTACTTACCATGCCATAACAGATATGTTCCTGCCCAGCTAGATTTTGCTCTTCCATGGACTCATGCTGCGCTTGCCCGGTCGTCCATTCTTCAATATCGGCGCTCGTCTCTTGAAAAGAGCCATTTATGTCGACTCCATCCAGTAGTGGGTCACATTGAGCGTCTTGTGAGCCAAGAAGTTCGTCTACGTATTGATCCCAGGATTGAGTTGGTAGAGCTGCTGTAAACCTACGACGGTCAGCCTCGCCTCCGATCACCATTCTTCAATCGCATACTGATCCAAGGAATCTTGCTGGCACCAGTTCAGATACGGGCTTTGCCTCTCGTGGTGGAAATGGTCGACATCGTCGTCGTTGAGTAGGTGCTTGAGCGCCATGACGCGTGACGTAAGCGCGTTCCGTCCTAGCGGCTCGGCAATGATGCGACCCGAGTAGACGATCGGTTCGCGGAGAAGGGTCTACTTCAACCAACTTCTGGACTACACTCGAAGTCTGTGACTCAAGATCCGTGAGACGTGCGAAAGAGGCGCTGCTTGGTATGCTGCGGATATGTGGTCTTTTCAGCTCGTCGCACCCGGGAGGCTACGTTGCAGCCTTTCGCCGCGTCCTGCATGCCGATAAGCCACACGCACATCTTCAGCCTTGCTCCGCCCCCTCCACAGCAATGCAGCTGGTCAGTCGTGGTCTAAGCACACATTTTCGACTTATTATCAGTGCTGCCTGGCATGGCGGCACAACCATCCCATCTGTGACTGGCATACCCGAACTTCCACACGACGTTTGATGAGTAGGTTCAATGGCGGGCCCAATACCTTCGCAATCGGCTAGTCGCACTTCGACGGGCGCTCTATCCCAGCAACCGACCCTTGTCGGAGGGATCACCCCACCACGGCATGCGACAGGAACCGCCTTGACCCGTGCTATTACGCAGTTTCGCAACAAACTCACAGGCTCGGAACTCACGGAGTTTAGCACGACGACGTACGATCAGCTCTGCAAAGCGTTAATCCAGGTTCAACATGAGCAAGAGCACCGAATGGAAGCGATGAACCTCGCTCGTGTCAAATCATGTCTGGAGGCCATGCACCAATTCGGCCAAGTCATAGAGATCTTCCTCAACGTTTCAGACGCGGTCGCCTTCGTCTGGGGTCCTATGAAGTTCATCTTGTTGGTAGGTACACTGACGGTCAATGAGGAGCGATGCCTCAGCTAACGCATGGCATAGACGGCTAGCACATTTGCCGACTCATTCGAACAACTTCTGGACGCATATGAGAGAATTGGCGAACAGCTACCGTTGCTGGTCGAATACGAATCATTGTTTCACAAATCGCCCCATATGATTGACGCCTTGGAGATGATGTATCTGGACATCTTGGATTTCCATCAACAAGCGCTCAAGTTCTTTTCGGGCAGATGTAGGCTAGCCCTGCCGGATTTCCGCGCATGCTTTAGCTAATTTTGATACAGTATGGACTCGGTTCTTCAAATCCATGTCAGTATCCTGCGTGCGGAATCCAGGAGAAAATGGCGCTGATGCTTAATCTTGGGATACAGGTGGAAGAACTTCCATACGAAGTTTGAGGGAGTTTTGAGTAGTCTTCGCCGGCACAAAGACATAGTTGAGTGCCGTGCTAGTCTCGCCCAATACCGACTCTACCAGGACGACGTAGCCGACTTCCGGGCGAAACTGGAAGAGAATGTCAAACGAGAAGAGACCAAGAAGCTGATGCTCGTCAAAGACTGGCTGGCTGTTGGAGACTTACCTCGATTCGATCATGACAGCTTCTGCAAGATACGGAGCGAATGCGCGACCACTGCCAAGTGGGTAACACAGCACGAAACCATCAAACATTGGATACACTCCGATATCCCGAACAGTCCCGTCGTCTGGATCTACGGAATACCAGGAGCCGGTGTGTATTGTCACTGTGTCTGCGGTGTGACGCTGATTGACAACAGGCAAAACGATACTGGCATCGGCCATCGTCGAAGAGTGCAAGGCCAGGCCTGACTTCATCACCTGCTTCTTTTACTGTCACGATGGCGATCCAACGAGTAGCACCGCGGTCGGTATACTGAAGGGCCTGGCAGATCAACTACTAGACCATTATCCACAGATGCTGCCTCCCTGCTACACACGGCGTAGCTCGAGTGGAGAACCGTCCCTCAGATCTCTCAACCAAGCGAAGAGGCTTCTTGAAGACTTTTGCTTCACCATATCCAAACTCTTCATCATCGTTGATGGGCTGGACGAGTGTGAAGGGGCGGAGAGAGGCCAAGTGTTGGATATATTAACCGAACTCGTAGGTCAGCGTGATGCGGTTGATCCGGGCACTATCCGCCTTTTGATCGCGAGTCAAGACCACGCCGATATAAGGAGAAAGCTTCACGGCTCCGCTATTACCAAGATGGCGCCCAAGATTCTGCAGATCTCGGAAAAAGACAACGAGGGCGACATCAAGGCCTACACCAGGATGTGGGTAGATCGAATTGAGGCAAAGTTTCCATTGTTCACGGAAGACATGAAAGAATACCTTCGTAACCTTATCGTGGCTAACGCGAAAGGTGAGTCGCTTAATGAATCACTACACGCAGTCAGGGTCTAATTCCAAGGCAGGCATGTTCCTTTACGCCAAATTGGTTTTGCTCGACCTTCACGCGTGTATGACGCTAGCGGAGCTTTTGGACTATATCAAGACCGAGAACTTTCCTTCAGGACTCGCACAAGCGTAGGTACACACCGAAGGGAACCCGCGACATCTTCTGGGCCCGATATTCGTACATTCGTCACGGACATCCAGCGTTCATTAACCGCGTCGACAGATATGAGCGGATAGTCACACGCGTCAAAACAAGATCTGGCAGAGGATGGCCAAAAACCAAGCAATTACTCGGATGGTGTGTTGTCTTCTGATCCCATGATCTGCCTATTGTATTCTAACCACGACTTTGTCTTCTAGGTTAGTGTGTGCCAAGCGCCGGCTTACTTGGAAGGAGATACAGGTTGCACTTTCGATCGATGTAGATTGTCAGATCATCGAATACGAACACCATCATCTCCGCGATCACATCTACGAAACATGCGGCTCACTAGTGCTTGTTAATGGCGACCGAGTGTCTCTCGTTCATAGCACAGCTAAGACGTACGTCAATCAGTCTGTGTTCGTCAAGTCCTTATCCTGACGGGAACAGGTACATCACCAGTATCACGAAAGATATCCACGAGCCATCCATCGAATGCGAGTTGGCGACGTTGTGTCTACAGTACCTCACCTTTCCCTGTTTCGACGTCGACGACCCGGGTGATCAAGCGCAACGTCGACAATACGTATTGGACGGATCGATTGCTTTCCAGGACTATGCCATCGCGAAATGGTTCCACCATGTCAACGCTTGGGTAGGCCAAGGGGAGAGGTTCCTCGACGAGGCAAACGACGTGGCAGGTCAATTACAAAGCATCTTCAAAGCCATGGATGATTTCATGACGCGTTATGGCGACGTGGACTGGTCCAACGGCCTGGTGGACGACTGTAAGGCCAAGTGCAGGGTATTCGAGCATCTCGACCTCCACGATCATCTAGTGGGGCTCACTAGCCACATCTACACGTTCCAGCAGAAAGGCTTCGATGCACAACACAAGATCAGCATTGAAGACCTCTCGAAGGCCTTGGATCGGAATCGGAAGGCTCTTGAGATATTCCCCAAGAGCAAGCCTGGCCCAACTGCACACGAGAAGGAGGCATACAAAAGATTCTACGACGAGGAAAGGCGATTCAAATGCACGAGGATCACATGCAGGTACTTCTCAGAGGGCTTCAAGGATGAAAAGGCTCGCAACCGACACGTCAACATTCACGAACGACCGTTCCAGTGTGAAGTTCCAGATTGCCTGGGCGCTGAAGGGTTCGCCAACGCGAAGGATCTGGAGAGACACACACGCGCGTTCCATCCCGAGATGAGTGACTTAGCCGAGAAGTTCATCACTGCTACAACAAAACGCGAGGCATCGACCCACGCCTGCACGATGTGCGGAAAGACGTTTTCGCGCAACTTTCACCGCAAGAACCATGAGTTGAGCCATCGAGGGGAAAGGCCACACGAGTGCCCGGAATGCGGCAAGGCTTTTACGAGGCTGAACGATCTCAAGAGACACCAGAAGATACACGACAGAAAGTAATGAACCTGGCCACATGATGGATGTCGTACCTGTCGCTTCGCTGCACGCTCGCTACTAGCCGTCAGGCTGAGCCAAGTGACAGTTTCTCTCTGCCGTGAAGCTGATGCGTCGAGGACTCATTTTTCGTACCTTTTGAGTCTTCTTGCTATCAGACAACATACAAATTCCAAGTACAGTACAGGCTCTGAGCCGGTGAGAGCCGGCAAATGATTACCCGGGAGCGTGAGCGGGTACAGGCACCTCGCTTCTCATCATGCACCGGTCAACAAGGATCTGTGGCGTGATCCGTCCTTTGTACATCCGGGCCTCTCTTTCGTGCTAAGAATCGCAGTGCAAGGCCCGTTGTGGTAGAGTTTCAAGCTGCTTGTTGCCGGCATATGTACTCAGTGATCACCGCCGGGAATGACGATTAGTGTCACGCGTCGTCCCAAAAAGAACGACTTGGTGCTCGTGCGTCCCTCTTCCGCATTAAAGAATGCGTCGCAGCCGTGATGCAGAACTGTGGAAAGGCCACTATGCTCTGCGGCCTATGTAGCACGTAGCCGTGCCTCTGCTTCATTTGAAGGAAAATGCTATAACGCCACATCATGGCAGTTCCATGGGTATACGATTCCGGAGATATTCATGCCTTTGACAATCACCGGGGTCTTAATTCTTCTAACCGTAGCTGCTATCGGCAAAAGGCACGCAAGGCGGCCAAAATCCGATCGCCAATTTCCCCACATTTCCATCGGAAAATGGCACGAGCAGCGGGCGCGATAGAAAGTAATAATTTTAGCCACGGGATAGCCGAGACACCTGCATCTGCACTACTCGCTGACTACCACTCGTGATCAGAGCCGTTATGCATACAGAGCTTTGCTAACATGTCAGAGAGAACAGCCAATACCCTTCGCTGTGAAGCCAATGCATCATGTGTCATATCTCAGCACATGCTTTAGACTTACCTGGTGATAAATGCGCCGTGAATCAAGAAGAAGGTAATAGTCCTGGGACCGGTGAGAGCTGACGACCCATTGTCCGGTTGGCCCGTGCGAGTGCGGACAGCGCGCGTTCTGATGCTCAACATCTGACAGGAATATGGACTGTTCACACTTTGTACGCCTGCGAGTTGTCTTCCGCGCTAATGATTGCAGTGCACTGCCCCGTGCGATGGTGTGGGCGGGCTGCATATGTGCACATTTGCCGTAGTGTCGC